ACGTATGCGGGGCACAAGTTCGTCTGCTTTTCTTTCAAAGGTTGTGGTGACGTCAGAATGCCGAGCACTGATTGGCTCCGATCGAAAGATAGTGGGTAGATCTCAAGGCAGTTTGCTTTGAGGTCTACCCACCATCTTTTAATCAGAAACAATCAAAGCTCGGCGTTCTGACGTCACCACAACCCGTGCAAAAGGAGCAGACGAACTTCGATACAAGTGCTGTGTCGGCGCTCGGCGTGAACTCGAACCGTGTAACTACACTCGTAGCATGCGCCTTGATGCTTGGGTAATTCAGCAAAAGGTATGTTCCAGCTCAAAACTGCTTCACGTGATTCACAAAACGCTCGCAGCGTCAAATTTGCTTCTGCACTTTTTTACGTCAACATGGTGCACACAGTATATGTTTGTCGTCGTTACTGAAAGCCTGAAAACTACTTTACACGTCTGGTTGATTAAAGGGGATCGGGTTGAAATGTTCATGACTTTGCAGAGGCGTAGTGGTCTTACCCTGGCCCACGTATACTCGCACAAACCGCCACTAATCAGCTCTTTTTTTTTTCGCGGTGAAATTGCGAGATTAAAAGAAGGCTTTGCGAAGGCAAGACTTTGAATCTTGCCTTCGCAAAGTTTGAAGACGAAATTGTGGGATCCAAACCACCCATCTGACGGCAATCGAGCGCGGCTCATGGATTGGGCACGAGAACTGCGTGAGCACTCGCGACTTCGGCTCGTAACAATCAATGCCTCGGCGGACCCTTAGGTAATGGCTCGTATCCAACCACTTCGTTTTCTACTTTGCCGACCCCAGCGCGTGGCTGTAATTAACGTTGGCGGCATAAGATGGGCACCAGACTACGTGGCCGCTTGTTGTGGCTCCAAGTTGAGGGGATGAACGATGCTCATATTTCTCGAATCTTTTTGGCAACTGCCATTGCCTAGAAAGAAAAACTAAAGCAATGTTGTTCACTTATTAACGTTAGGGATTGGTTTTAAATAGCATTTAGCGAAAGTAGAAAAATCGTTTTCTGGCTTCTTTAAGGGTACGGGATGAGCACCAATATGGTTAACCGCCATGGTTAGCCGTAAATACACGTGCTAATATAGCATCCAAGCTAAACGTTGACGAAAAAGGTAATCGCGTCCGAGGGACGGCGTTCCCGCTCGCATACCTCGGACTCAAAGGCGAAGTTCTTCCAGAAGTGGATGGTACCCTTGCCGCAGAGGTACCGGGAACTCCGATCTTCGGCCTGGTACAAATGATGCTGCGCGGAGAGAATTCCCGTAGACTACCATTGGCAACCTTTCCACTTCTTAAAAGCGCTATATTTTTTTTTTTTTTGTTTCATTTGCAAATGTTGGTGTTTGACGCACATACAGAGCAGCGCTCACTGGCAACGCCGCCTAGATAGAAAGCCGTACTGTTGTCTTTTCTACGTCCCCTAAAAAGGGCCAGCAAACAGCACCGAACACGGGTGCTGGGTGGTTCGACTGGAACTCGCATATGCAGTCGGAGAAAACGCGACTTTCGGCCCAAAGCTCACACAGCACTCTGACAGCGCGCCGCGATCCTCGGGACTGAGGACCTCGGCGGCAAGCTTCTTTGGGGAGGGCGTCCAAAATCTTGTGTCACGTCATAACAACTGTCCTAATTTGTGCGGTGACTACGTGGAGACGTAGCTAGAGTATGGATTGCATTCCGTGAATACCAAAAGATGATTTAACACTCTTGTGTATACTACGCAGTTCATCAGAAGCTGGAAAAAAAATAACAGCCCTCATTTTATAAAAAAATAATCTCGTTTCCCAAAGTTCTCAGCGATTTTGCGACGAGTGGAAAAAAGGATTCAGCTGTCAAAGGAAGAAATACAGCGCTAAATCAGCGCTACTCTGCATATAAAAACCGACCTTATATTGTTGTTGTTGATTTTTTTTTCTTTTTTTTTTTCTGGGAAAAGGGGGGGGGGGGGGAAGGGGTTGGCAGTAAGGTGCATGTGGGCTAGAAAACCTGTCCAAAATAGACACAAAAAAAGAAACGCTGCAGGGTGCGTCAAGTTTCGGGTACTAAGATGTTTAAGTGTTATTTTTAGACTGGTGTGATTGCTCGTGGTGGTTGAAGCTGGCAGCACGCGGTCTCAGAAAAAATACTCGAAAATGTCGCGAAACGCCATGGTCTTATGACTTGCCCCAGAGGAGACAAAAAGAAGTGGCGGCGTGCCAAGAAGTGATCTAATGGCGTGTATAGTGCACCTGATATCGCCGCTCTGTTTCGTGAGCTTTGTTCCGATCACGCGCAATACTGATTCCTACCGCCGATAGCGTGCCTTCTGTTTCATTTGTTCGACTTTCCGAGTCCTCGTTTTCCGCCGAGAAACCGCTGGGGAAGAAGAGCAGAAGAGAGCGCGCGGGCACACCTGAACGCGGAGCTCTGGTTGATTAGTGGGTGGACCTTTGCCTCTACCGCACTCGTCGAACACGTTCGAATGCGAAAGCCAACCCCCCGGACGCCGGCGTTCCGCGTTCCGATGCGTTCGACGAGTCCCTCTCCGACCCACTAATCATTCCAACCATGGTTCGGCCAGTTCGGCCTTCTGACCTCACCGCGCGCGCTCGTATTCCCCTTTGTTCCGTGTGTTCCGTGTTCCGTGTTTCTTGGCGCATACAGAGAGGGCGAGTGCGTGCAGCGCGTGTACCTGCGTTCGCTGCGTTCCCTTCGATGATTGGATAATTTAGCAAAAGACCTATGAGCGATTTTCCGGACTCGTGGTTCGAAAGCGTGCGCTCGCGTAGCCTGAAGCGTTCTTCTGGGGAAAACGTGCTCGCGCTGCGAGCCTCTGGCTCTAGGGTATTTACCATCGAACTGCGAATTTCTAAATTTGCTCATAAACAGAAACCACAACCACAAAAAGCAGCACGTAAAAAGGGTATATTAACAATAGGCTTGTGAGTTGTGCATTTGGGAGAGCTCTATGGTCGGTGCAAGGTTAAGAATTCAGGGGAAGCTCCTCAAACGTATTTCCACTTTAGCATAGTTGCCTTACATCACCTTCGATTATTTCTTACGCATCAGGGTTACGTTCTTCGAGAGATACGTAACAATGTGCACAAATTCATTACAGCATTCCAGACGATTACCTAGCTAATACCTACAGCTTGGATGTTCGGAAATAACAAACAAAAAGATAGCATATTTATGATCTAGCAGCCATTCAGATCATTGGCCAATCCCTCTTTAAATAAGTGCCAAAAAAAAAAGCTTTTGGAAAGAACAGGAGAAAGCTCAGCACATTGGACGGCTCCACATCCTTCTTTGGCGCTAGGGTTAAAGAAATGCTAAACCGAAATTTGGTTTTCACAAAATAAGGTAGCAGGAATGTTCAACGGGGCGCCACAAACTCCAAAACATCATTTATGAAGCGATATCTCGAAAGGATATCCGTATTTTTGTAAAATAAGGATGCGATTGGAGTGAGAATTGCGACGTCGCGTTTCCTGCAGAATTGTTGAGGAGGAGGGAAGACGGTCTTGTTTCCTTCTCTCTTCCCGTCCTCGCGGAGTCAAAGCGAGAAGAGAAGAAAAGGAGAATCGGCGACGTCACGGGCTTTTTTGGCCTTGTTCAAGCGCGCTCTTCTTTCGCTGGAGATATCGCTTTGTGAGTGATGCTTTCGGGTTTGTAGCGCCCCGCCTAGCGCTTCCGCGCTGTTTTCTGAAATCAAAATTTCGTTTAAGGGGATCGAGGTGTTCTTCCGTATTGAATTAACCTGAGACTGGGGTAGAGAAGAAATATCAAAACGTAGGACAGAAAATAGACAGAACGACGTCTCAACGAAATAGACAGATGTCATCCTGTGCTTTCTACGTTTCGATGTTTCTTCTCTACCCCAGTCTGTAATTAATTCACCATGGTTAATATTCACCAGCTCGCCTGCACCCTTACGATTTGTTCGATGTTATTCTGTAATGCACGTACCGTCTGCTCCGCAACGGGCCATCGGGAGCGATTCAGACTGGAAGAGGACGGCGTCTTTTTGGGCATCGTTCTGGGAGAGACGCGCGACCGCTGGTGCACTGTCGCGCTCGAATCACGCGACGTGAACGCGATCGAACGTTCCGTCACGTGAACCAAGTGCTTCCTCTTTATCAACGGGCGCGGATCAGAAAAAAAGAAGGTTCTAAACTTTGACCGACTTTAAAATTAGAAGAAAAAAAAAAGGCATCAGGAATTATTGTTGTTTACCTAATGAAAAAAAAAAACGCAAGGATTGACAAAATTTTTTATATTCTTGGAGCCTTATGCGAATTTGGGTGGTTGATTTCAAGCACTCCCATCTTGTTGCCTTTGTTCTCAAGGCTAGCAGCAACGTTACTAGAACTCAGTTGGGAAACTGACATAGAGCCTGCTTTGAAAAAGTGGCTTCGATCCGTACTTGAGAACCGAACTAATGTCGATCACAACGCCACCATTTCTCCCGCAGCGGCCGCTCCGGGAACTGCACGCCTGCACGTGTCGGTTCAGGTCGAGTAGCCCAAGGGCCGGTGGCACCGTCTAGCGGTGCCATTTTGCAGCAGCAATAAAAATGAACTTCCATGTTTTAATTAGACACTAAAGGGTGGCGCTGTTATCGGTCTGGGTCTCAAGTGCGAGTTTCCCAACTGAGTGTTTTAGTAACGTTGGCTAGCAGTTTCCAATGCTCCGAAGCTAGTAAACTTCGTCTAGCTGACCTAGCATATCTTTCTCATGAGAGTGCGTGCAAATGAGACGCAAGAGCAGACGCAAGCCACAGCGTGGAGCTGCAATACTGTGAAAACTATGCTAGCCCTGACAATGTTGTACAGAAGACATTGGCGCCTAGAATAGGTAGTATCTCGAGTGAAATTTACAAAACCTAGAGGGGCCAAGAGGGAAGCGTCTTCAAGCACTCCTATAAGCACCTAGCCATGCGGGAAAGCCAACCCTGCAGAGGGGTCACGGAAGGACAATCAAAGAAAACGATGCAAAGCAGTAAGAAGCAAAAGTCTTTATTTCCCTCCAGAGCCCAGTTCAAAAGTCGGTGTGAAAGCTCGAGATCGGTGGGACCGACTGTTTTTCTCCACAAAGTGGCGATAATTTCAAAGCGGCAGCAATCGAAAAATTACGGAAAGGCAGGCCCAGCGTTGGGTCGATGCGCGTCATGTAACAGACACGGAATGTGGGCCGGTGCAATTCAAATGTGAAACCGTGCTTTCCTCTACACGCGAACGTATCGTTTGAACCCCCAGTCCCCACAGTGACAAGAGTCGGCCAACTCCACTAGCAGAAGTAAAGAAACGCTTTAACTGTAATCACCACCAGCACGAGAACGACAGGGCATCCCTTTCCCATGCTGAGGCTCCAGTACTTGCTCATTGCCTTCCGTTCGAAGCTCAGTAAACGTCCAAGTGTTATCGAAGGTAGAAAGCCTGCATCCGAGGCGGGACAACTGCGAGGCCTGCCTGCAGTTCTTGTTTTGTCGGCGACTACAGGGATGCAGACAAGTTTATACCGCTTACTGTCAGACAAGTTTGTTCTTGTTGCAGCTCGGTAAAGCAGAGGTGCTGCCGGGGCCAACGAGGTGTTTCCGACCCGTCTGCGTGCGGGGTTTGCCAAACGTGAGTCCTGGGGGGACGTGTTCGGGGGATGACGTGACAGGTTGCACATGTTGCTGGAATGAGTGGCGCTTGCCTCGATGTATTTTTCCCCCCCATGCGGCGCTTGCAACAAGCGTTGGCTTCCTCGCGCTGGCCGTCACTTTCGTTGTGAGACGGCCGGCCGGTCCTGCCTAGTTTCGGTTCTCCAAGGAACAAGGAGTCGGAAAAGGAAAATGACAGTAGTTTCAGTTCTCGCTTTGCCCTCACGTCTCGTTGCCTCATGTGACGATCACCACGAAGGCAGTCTTCCCTGTGTCACTGAGACTTCATCGACACCAGTTTTCGTTGTCTCGTCCTAGAAATAAAAGGAAAGCTATGTACAATTTGCTGTGCACAAGGGTCATTGTTTTGTTTTTTACATGCGTGTAGAGTGTATTTGCATAGGTTCACCAAAGTTCTTCATTGGTTGCTTGTAATAATAAGAATACATTTTGATACACACTATACTGCTGTTGTATATTGGGGGCTTGGGGCCAGTCCAGCTGTTTCTAAAAAATTTTCCTTGCACTGCTTTTGTTAAAAAATAAATACTTATTATTATTAAATCGAAGTTGCATCATTATCTCGGCACTACCGCTATAATGCAAGTGATGCAAAGTCCAGAGCATCGTGACAAGCGTGCAAACCAGACTGAGGGGCCTGATTTCATCTCATTTCTAAACAGTCATAGTTTAACAGGTCTTAGTAGCCATCCCCCAGTTCAAGCCGAAACACACATTACTTATGCTTGGGAGAAGAGCGTGTTGGTTTAAGTCATGGATGAAGAAAGAATAAAACAATTAAAACAGGGACAACACAACCACATCTTTCATGTGGTTGTGGTGTGGTTGTGTTGTCCCTGTTTTAATTGTTTTATTCTTTCTTCATCCATGACACATTACTTGCACTGACATCCTATCAGCTACCATCCTGGGGGTCCTGCTGAAAGATGTGGTTGTGTTGTCCCTGTTTTAATTGTTTTATTCTTTCTTCATCCATGACACATTACTTGCACTGACGTCCTATCAGCTACCATTCTGGGGGTCCTGCTGCTAAGTGCATAAACAGTCATATTCACTTTGTACTATCTGACTTGCCCTCATCATCGAGGACAGGTAGAAATGACCACGAGTATGCTGAGATGACATCACATGCAAGCCACGTAAAGTATGCTTCTGCAGTAGGAAACCAACCAAGATGACATTGTGTCATATGGCCCTCTGCGAGCCTCTGAGATTTGCGACGGGTGTTAACAATATGACTAGTATCGTTAACACCCATTGCAGATCTTGTTACCATCGCTGTGCCAGGTTTTGAACTATATACATTATCATATGACGAGTGTGCGGCGCTATGCCATAAAATAGTTTCTTTTAAGTGTACCACATCTTTGGTGGCAACAAAGTACCGTGATATACCGAGCAAGCGCCCACGTCACAGTAAGCCTCGCTACTTAAGACATGTTTGAAAAATGGGCGATGAATATATCAAGCACCCACCCAACTTCTGCACCCACCTATGCAACAAAGCCGCTTCTCCACGTCTTTCATTTCCCTTAACCTGCCGATGGAATGCAGCGAAGCCCGAGCTATTATGTTCCTCTTCTGCATTTTTGCACTCTGACCAAACTAGCATCCATTCCTCAGTTTTTCAAGATTGCCTCCGAATTTTTGGAAGGAGCTTGCTCGGTACTGTGCAGTATCCCTTAAAAGGCAACTCTGGTCAATTCCAAAAATTCTGGGATTACGGGTGACTATCACGTCAAAACTACTAATAAACGATTCTATGTCATTTGTTTTCCGAAAAATTTAATGGTTTTCTTGCAAACCTCATTTAAATGAAAATCACAAAGTGAAACCGAAACATTGACCGCAGCAGGCGACATTGGTCCTGCTGGTCAGCTACTCGACATCACGCGGTACGGAGACGTCGGCTATGTCATCAACAAAAGCAGCGGACCACGCTCTCTCTTTTTCTCTCTCGCCCTTGCACTCTGCGTTTTGAAAAGTAAAGAACGAACAAAGCAATTCTTCCAGTTGTTGACGTCCCGCGCAGTGTTGGCTGTGTCCACACAGCGGCATTAGCTGTGTGAGCCGCTTCGACTTCATTTGGTCGGTTTAATGAACTTTTATGCAGAATCACGGCGTAATACTTTACGTGTAGGCTTTTCAGATGGTACGACGTAGGATGCATTGTTTTCTCAACGTCAAAGTTTGACCGGAGGGAAAGGCTCCCAAGCAAAAGTAGATGTTAATAATAAAAAACTAATCAGCCTTTTTTTCTTTTCTAAGCCTATTTTATTATTTACTACAACGATGTAAGTATGCAAACCCATAAAGGGCCTACAGTTGTTTGAAAGGCTCCTTACCTCGATTCAGCCCGGTATGAGGTGTACTCAAACCACATAACATTGGGTATCAAAGTGGTATCTCTCAGCATGAGGAGCTCGCTCACGGGCCTGAAAACAAACATGGGATGGATGGAAGTTGCAACGCCTCTCGACATCAAAATTCAATTTTCCTAACAACTCCCAGAACGTGAAGCCACTCTCTACAAAGGACATTTTTCTACCTCATGAAACGTGACAAAGATCCGCCACCCAATAGGTGGGCTAACCCAAAAGCTATTGCATGCAAGTCCAAACTGGCATTCAGGGGAAGAGAGCTATGTCATTCCCTTCAAGATTTGTTGCGAGTTACTAATGATGCGGAATTACTCGTTGCTACCCTGCGGCACAATCATCAATTAATGTGAAGCTAACACAACCAGCTCCAGTCTTGATAAACGACAGGCGTTCGAAAAAAGATCGCTAAAGCTTTCTTCTGCATCTTGCTCTGGCCCACACTTCCTATTCCTGCATGTTACTCTGTTCTAAAACGTGACAGGCTCTGAATATGTGCATACAATGTATAATCAGGATTCCACAACTGCATGTCTGCAACCAAATACAAAAGAAACACCAAAAAAAACAGAAAATTCTGTGTTATATGAAATGCTATCAAAGATTTTTTGGGAATGTCTTTGGGAGGTTTTTTGCTGTGTTGACTGACTCCTGTCTCAAACACAAGAGCTTGTATGCATCCAAAAAGAATAGTCCACCAGCATTTCTCTTTTTTTTACCATGCACACTAGTCAAAGGCTTTGCTAGAGGAAAAGAATTCCGAAAGTGACTAGTTTAAAGCGAGATAATGCAACGCCAGTAACCTTTCTAACAAAGCAAAAAGAGAGAATTGGACTTTGTTTCTCCGACAAGGACCTTTTGGATACTCTTCAATTACTTTGGCAATGCAAACCTCTAACTACCCTAATCAAAGCTCCTAACTAGAGGAAGTCAAAAGTCAAATTGGACGTTTGAGTGATTTATACAGCGTAAGGTTGGTCTGCCAGTAGGGGCGACACTGGTTTACACTGTACATAAGCAGTTTTGCCAGTGCAGTACGACTGCTAACCTGGGGTCTTTAACGTGCACCACGCAGTAGTGATACACGACCGCACGCCGGTACGATGCTCATCCAGATCGAAACGGGCAGGGGTGGGGCTCGAACCCAGGATCCCTGGGTTCTGCAGCGCGAGCTTTCGCTCTTCGCACGTCGAGCTGGGTGTGCACTTCAGCCCACTCGGCCACTGATCCCCCACCTAACTAGAGGAGCTGGTGGCCAATGCAGCAATAAACTGCTTTATCGAGGCAGCGAGTAAATGAGAAGACCACTCACCAGGACACAACGCGAGGAAAGAGGGGCGTGAGTACAAACTGGGTGACAGAAAACCAGAGGCAGGCAAGTAGCGAGCCGATCAGGGCCCCCCAGCACACCTGGGCCCATGTGTGGTACTGAAGGTACACTCTGCAACAAGAGGGATTCCCACTGAGCACTGCATCTACGTGTACAGTCAAACCCGTTTATAACGAACAGCAGGAAACTCTATGATCAGTTCGATATAGCAAAACCATTTACAACGAACTTCCACGATGTGTTCGTTGTAAGGCGAGAGCCTTCTCTTTCTTTCTCATCTCTTCGATTTCCGCCTTGTAACAACAAGCTGATTTTTTTTTTTTTTTTTTTTTTGCATTACTGCAGGTTTTTTTTAGCTTACCTTTTCTTCTGAATCGCTTCTCTTCGTAAGCTACCACTTGGGGATGAGAATTTTTTTTTTTCTGTGCGTGCGTGCAGTTTTATTTTTTTAGCTTCCCTTCCCTTCCCTTCCCCCCCCGCCCCCCCCCCTTTGATTCGCTTCTCTTCACTCAGTTTTGTTCCCAGCTTGAGCTTTTGAAATTTCCTGTCTTTCCTACTTTTTTTTTCCTGTGGGGGAGGGGGGTGGAGGGACAGGCTAGAAGACGATTGCTTGCGCGTTTTTGGAAGCCTTCCTGGGGGGAAAAGTTCGATATAGCCAATATGTTGATCGTTATAAAAAGTACTTTTTACGTGCATTTTTATTTGAACTTTTCGTGAGTTCGATATTGACAATAATTCGCTGTACGTGGGTTCGTTCTAAACAGGTTTCACTGTATTACAGGAACATCATTTTGCCACAATGCCTGGATGAGTGCTAAGTGCTGTGAACGTGCCATAACCACCAGCATTCCTGTATGAGGACAATTTAATTGTGCCTTCTGTTTCAACCTTTCATCTGCCAGAGTATAAGCAGCATAAGGTGCTAAATATTAATCAATGTGAAAAATTGTAACTGCAAGCTGGTTGCCCTAATAAAACAAAAAACAAATTATCACTTGTCTGCTTCTGTGGGGACAAAAACCGTTGAAAGGCTTGAGTCGACGTTTCCGTCTTTTGGAGAAATGCAGAGAAACTTTGGACCTGAAGAATAGCAATGCTCGTCCACAGCAGACCTTGCGTTTGGAAACTCCTCGCTGTCACATAGCTTTCAACTTGCGATAGCTAAATTTGTACTCATTTTCTTCAAAAACTGATTTGCTTTTTACTGAAGATGGTAAATTGCTGGCCCATTTATACCAGAACTAAGAAAAAATATTCAGGTCAGAAAGCACTTCAAAAGTTGGAAAACACAAATGTGTGCCTCCGATTGTAACTATGTATGAACATATCATCAATTTCCTAAACTGTGATTAAGCCTATAAGCTACAACGGAAGACATCTATTCCAAAACTTAAAACAAACAAAAATATTATATAAAATAGAGAGAAGTTCCCAACAATGAAAAGAGCTACTGAATAATTCTGTAGCTCCTATACCTTGCCCATTGCTAAGCCGACAATGCAGCGGAAGCTACGTGCTCGCTGGACCAGTCAACTGTCAGTCTTGCACCATGTGGTCGTGCTCCCTGCCCTTACTCTAGCGCAGAGGGTGGGCCAAAGGAACTGAGTATGACTGATCTGGGAAGCGTGCAGCTTTCACCGCCTTGTCAACTTAGCTGTGAAGAAAGTGAACCATGCTATCCTTAGGTATTCTAGCAATGAAAAACCTCATCAAACTTCTAGAACAAGACTTAACTGTCAGTGCTAAACTGTAAAAAGAGCCAGGACATGCGTCCAAATAGGCGGTGAGAAGCAGGTCGTACCTGCTGTATGAAACCACTCCTGCCAGCAGGAACCAGCAGACTATCACAGCATGCTTCCACAGATTCTCCCAAGGCCAGCTGCTGCTGCTGCTACCATGATGGAGGCTACAGGGAAATGGAGCCCAGGCCAGAAGGAAAGGCATGACTTGCACAGCCAGGGAAACCAAGTTACATGGGTCACATGGAAGACACCCTCAAAAGTTGGCCACCTTGTTTGAACTGCCTACCGTAAAATACCGGGCAAGCGCCCACTCAAAATTTAGAGATAATCGCGAAAAAATGGGTGATGGGCGCTTCTCCGGTCATTAATTTTACATATCGATGTACTGTGCATATATTCTCAGATCTTACAAATTCGGGTATGGGCGCTTAGTGTGGCATGGGCGGATGCACGGTATTCTACGGTATGTCCTATATTATTAGGCCTACTCGAGTGCCACCGTCAGTAAGGTATGTTTGAAGCCTAACCTATGTCACATTCGTCTGGGGCACACCGCACCGCACCGCGCTGCACCGACGATCGCGTCACGTTCGCCAGGTCGTGTTGGCGCGGCTGCACTACGTTCGCCTGGGACTTCATGTGGCGCGCAGCACCGGTGCATTGCTGCACCAGCTGCACTGTCAGAAAGAGACCATGCAGGTCCTCGCACTGCGACCTTGAGTTAACGCTCTCCGCTTCCTTCGGCACCTCCTTTCTCTCTCTCTTGCTTCATCGTCGGTCTTTCTTCCTCGTCTTACGAAACATGGCGGCCCGCAGCTCGAGAGAGTGTGATGTCGGCGCTGCTATCTTCTTTCCCTCAAGCCCTCTGCTCTAACTACGATTCCAGCAGCGACGACGGGCGTCGGTTTTTTCCTTTTCGGGAAGTGAGTGTGTGTGTGTGCGGTGCTGCTTCGGCCGCAGAGCAACCAGTCCACCATGCCGGGTAAACGTGAAGCTTTCGTCGTTCGTTGGATTCAAGACGTCGGTGAGTCTTCGGACTTCGTTTGAACTTTTCCCTGGACTTTGGGTCCCACAGTGGGGACTTTCCTTTTCTGAAATTTCCTCTTCTTTGAACCAACGAACTTGTTTCCTGGCTGCAGTTTGTGTCGCGAGCGGCGAGTTGTTCCGCGTTGTCGGGAATTGAGTGCTGTCTTGTTTTCTTCGCGGCCCCGCTGCCCGAAGGTTCATGAGCGTGTTATTGGAGTAACGCCTGTTCGCATTTCCTTCTGATGGTTTTGTTGTGTTGTCGCTGTGCGCGGCTTTTCATCGCCTAATTAAATTTCTTGTTTTTCTTTTAACCCCTGCGTGCCCTTGCCTTTGTTGATTTTCACACCGGACGTGTACCTATCGCTTGTCACCAGTCCGACAATAAAATCGCATATATGTAAACGCTCTGTTTCATAGTCCATGTGTTTTTGTTTTTACGTTGGCGGGCGAATTTTCAGTGTAACAAGTACATACTTGAACCACCCCCTGAAAGACAATTTGTTACAGTCAAATCTCGTCAATTCAAACTCTCTTAATTCAAACTTGTGGATAATTCAAGCTAACATGCAGGTCCCAGCCTATGCATCTCTATGGGAGGAAACTCCTGGTAATTCAAACTTTGCTTTATTCAAACAAATTTTCGGTCCCCCTTGAGTCTGAATTAACGAGATTCGACTGTACTTTCATTCCTCGCTAGATGGCGCGAGCCGCCGCCCCACTCTTGCGGATATTTTTTACCGTCCACCCGTTCATGTTTTGCCCTTGCAGTGACCGCACCAAGCGCGTTGCACGGCGGGATGCTTCGCGTTCACCTGGTAGTGCATCGTGGTGCACCTACACAGTGGCGTGGCCTTGGAGGTGACATTTTCTTGGTGCCGAGCGCACCCCAGACGAATGTGACACTAGTGTCCTTTCTATCGAAGCAGAAATTGAAACCTCAGTATCTGTCACCACCCCACACACAGTTCTACTAATGGTCCCTCTCGCATACTTGTTTTTGGAAAACATAAAGCTTCGTATAAATGATTACAAGTCCTTTCTGTGCGTGCGTGTGTTTCTCTTGCTAACCATAGTTCTTGCAGATGGACACTGCAGAGTTGGGGAGAGTCAATGAAGTGACTGACACCTTAATTTGACAGAGCAGATTATGTTAGTGCCAACGACTACAATCAGCTAACTCCAACAAAACAAAGTAGTTGTGCACCGTTTAACAATTAAAAATACTATATAGAGTGGAAAAAAAAAGATTTGCATCAACAAGGAATAGACAAGCAGATAAATGCCTCACAGTCTAGAACTTTAGTTTTATTATCGCTACCTTTTTCTAACAGCAAAACAACAACCTGGTACACAGGGATGGAGTGTCCCACTCACCGAATTAGCACAAAGAAGGCCAAGTAGGTTGCCACAAACCACATCAGCTGGGAGTGACTGGATGGCATGCCATACTCTGTGTAGTTATCACGAGCTGCAGGAAAAGAAAATAATGGTCATAATGATTTAGACTGAGGTGCAAAACAAACATCTAAGAATATGGGTAGTGTGCTCCCAAACAACCGAGATGGCAGCCTATCAAAGCAACATGTAAACAAATGTCATGCGAGGCAAACAGACGAATGATTGTCGTGGCAGCGTTGGACAGTGATGGAAAACAGTGCCGATACGCTTAAATTCCAAAAGATGTGTAGTCCTCTTGTCGGTTCGGGTAGGCCAAGGGGAAATGTTTGGCCGCTCTAGCAAGAACTTTGTATGGGCCATCGTAAGCAGGCTGTGGCAATCGTCGCTCCAAATCGTGGCGCATGAAAACATGTGGCAGTAGAAAGGTCCAGGCTGACGAAGATTTTCTGTCAGTGGGACTTCCGTGTGGGTGATGGACGAAGGTTGGCCATATGGTAGCATAGTTTTTCCACACAGTCAAAAGGATCAGGTAGAGAGCTTGATAGTAAAGCACAGAAGAAATCACTTGGCATGCAGAGTGGAGTGCTGTAGACCAACTCTGCTGCACTACACCCAAAGTCTAGTTTGAGAGCAGCTCTGATTCCCAACATTACAAAGTGAAGCCACTCTGTCCAGAATGTTGACTCGGGAGCAGTAATCCCTATTTTTAGCTGTCTGTGAAAACGCTCAACGAGCCCATTCGCGCTCGGATGGTACAATGTTGTCGAGATGTGGTGAAAACCAAACCGTTGTGACAATGTTCTAAATAAAGTAGACTGAAATTCCCTTCCACGGTCAGTGGTGACAGTTGTACGAACACCAAATCATACAATTCACAAAAAGAGAAATGCTTGTGTAACCAATTCAGCGGTGATTTTGGTTAGAGGAACTGCTTCAGGCCATTTGGTGAAACTATCATTGATGGTGAAGAGGTTAGCGATGGTGACAGGGGTCCAACGATGTCCATGTGGATGTTGGTGAGGCATGCATCGGGCAGCCGCATTCCGGGATGTGGTGTGGCAATGAACTTTGGTACGCTGGCAGTTTATGCAGGTGTACGCCCACTGTCGTATGTCAGAATTCATGCGGGGCCACAGGTACCGAGACAAAATCAGCCGTTCTGTCGTTTCAATACCTGCGTGTGCCAAGGAATGAAGCACACCGAAGGCTTGACGCCAGAAGACTTTAGCATGGTATGGCCGTGGTTGGCTGGTCGAAACATCATGCACTACTGCAGGCGATGATGTGTCAAGCTGCACTTCTCGGAACTGCAGCGAGCATGAGGGAGAGTTGCGCAGTGTCAGGAGCTCGGGGTCAGCTTTCTGAGAAGCTGCAAGGGTCGAGTAGTCCAAGGACGCGCATTTTATGCAAGTCGCATCAATGTTAATGTGGGAAAGTGCATCAGCAACGGCGTTCTTTTGTCCGTTGATGAACCTGATGTTGGTAGTGAATTCTAATATGAATGCCAGCTGACGTATCTCTCTTGGCGCATGAGCAGAACTGCAAGTGGCAATGGCGTACGTCAGCGGCTTATGGTCTGTTTAGGAATTCTTTACCTCCAAGGAAACGTCGGAAGTACTTGACTGCGGAGTAAATGCCAAGTTACTTGCATCCAGAAGTACTGTACTTAGTCTCTGCAGGTTGACAGTAACATAGACTAGAAGGTGGTGGGGCTCCATGATCCATCGATAAACTGTTGGCAAACTGCGCCGGTCGCTGTGTCTGAAGCATCAACCATGATGGAAGTTGGCACATCAGATCTGGGATGGGTCAGTAGAACGACTTTGGCTAGCTCTTCTTTCATCCTGTTGAAGGCTTCCTCTGCAGCACTGTTCCAGATCAGGGGTGCAGTCTTTGACTTGATTCCTGCAAGAAGTAAGTTAAGTGGGCGGAGCACCGCGGCTCGCCCGGAAGGAAACAAAGGTAGAAATTGATCAGACCAAGGAATTCCTAGAGTTGCTGACCATTGGATGGTCTTGGATAGTCCTGGAATGCTTGAACTTTTGATGTCAGAGGTTGGATTCCATTCTTGTCTAGGTGGTGTCCAAGAAAATCGAGTTCAGAAATGCCAAATCTGCATTTTTGCATATTGATAGTCATGCCAAACTCATTTAGACGCTCAGACGACTTTCATGTTCGTCGGGAGTCTTACTGAAAAGGAGAATATCATCGAGGTAGGTGAAATAAAATGAAAGGCTTCGCAGTACTTGATCCATGAATCTTTTAAAAGTTTAAGCGGCGTTCCCGGGGCCGAAAGGCATACGCACACACCCAAACAAGCAGAGAGGTGTCACGATGGCTGTTTTAGGTATGTCCGCCGGCTCGATGGGAACATGATGATAAGCCTTCACGAGATCCATCTTGGTGAAAATCGTAGCTCCTGCGATGGCCCCGGAGAAATTCTGGATGTGCAGGATTGGATGGGGGTCCGGTACAGCGACTTTGTGCACGGTAGTCACCACACGGACTTCAATCCTCAGTTTTCTTCTGGACCATATGCAGGGGAGACAACTAGTTGCTCGAGGATGGTGCCGAGCTCGAGCATATGCTCGAACTAGTTCCTTGCAACCTTAAGTTTGTCTGACGCAAGTCGTCGAAGGTGTGCGAAGACAGGTGGTCCAGTCATCTGGATAGAATGGGTAATGCTGTGTTTCTTTGATTCAGCATAAAACGCTGGTCACGTAAGCTTTGGAAACTTATGAAGGAGAGCTTCTCATCTTGTCAGTGTTATTGAGGATGGCTGAAGAAGCACGAGCTTTGGATTTTGTGCCACAATTCCTTCGATGTGTAGGTGCGTCTCTGTCTTGAAGCTGGTGTTGACGGATGTCTACAGTAAGGTTAAAAAACTAAAGTCCGCTCCAAGGATGGTAAATTTGACGTCCGCGATTATAAAATTCCAGCGGAACGTTCTTCGTAAACTGAGGTAGAGTAGGATTGATTTCTCACCATAAGTGTAGATAATTGAACCACAGGCAGCTGCCAGAGATGTCGGAGGTCGACGGTTTCGGCGGTCCTCCAGAGTTGAAGGACAAACACTAATTTGCACACCTGTACCCACAAGATAGCAAACCTTGGTGGACTTGTCAGTGACGAAGAAGAGACGGCTCTTAGCTGAACTCACCCTATTAGCCAGCTTTAATGAGTTGTTTGCGGCATCACCAAACCGGTGGTGGTTCCAGTAGGTGCGGTCTCCACTGGGAGAACGACTGCGGTTGGTGCTTTGACTGAAGCTGGAGGAGTGAGATCGATGTGTACCTGGTGTCGTACGTCGCAGTTCTGCAGCCTCTAACGAAAGCTGCTCGACTTTCAAAGAAAGGTGGTGTATGACTTTGACCAGCTTCCCATCGGTAGAGAGAGATGGCGGCTACTGCAAGGGCGGCATTTGGTGCGTGGCGTAAAGCAGTGGGGAGCTGACTTTCATGATCTTGTCTACCATCCTTGCGAGCGCTTAGAGAGATGTTGCGTCTGAGGTTGAAAGAATCATCCGTACGTTATTTGGAAGCCTTTGAAGGAAGAGCTTGTGGATGAGGGAATGGTCGAGGCTGTCTGCTCAATCTCCTATCAGTTGCTGCATGCGGTGAAGAAACTGCGACGGTTTTCGGTTGCCCAATTCTTTGGTTGTAAGTAACTGCTGCAGTCCTTTTTGTTCAGAGGCGGTGGTGCGCAGGATCAACGCGTCCCTGAGGACGTCATAAAGATTCTCCAGAAGAGAGCGGAGGAGATCTTCCATGACTGATGTTGTTGTCTGAGGTAGGGCTGTGACGACGTAGTCAAATTTGGCCCATTGTGAAGTTATCCGGTTGTTGCAGAAGAAGGCGTCGATGTGGAGAAACCAAAGTTCTGCATCCCTTGCCCAGAATTCTGGCAGCCTGAGGTAAGTGGCAGCAGTGTGCAGGGGCGCATTAGCATTCCCGGCTGCGACATTGCCAGATGATGATCCACTTGCTTTGGGGTGAGACATCTCGAAGTCTTAAGTCGGAGGTGTAGGGTGGAGCGTTCTGATAGTCCGGGTCACCAATTTATAGTCGTCGAGGCCTTTGGTTCCCAACCAAGTTAACTATTTACTTACATATGTACAAGATTACTTAAAGGGACAATGAAGGCGATTTCGGATATCTTTTTGGCAATTGAACTGGGTTCCAGGCACGTCCCAGGCAACGTTGCCCAAATTTCAGTCGAAACCAGCATTTCTGTGCCGCGTAAATCAATTCAACAGTCGCGGTAATAATCGTACCGGGATCGACTGCGACGACGCCCCGAGTTGCGGGAGAAGCTAGGAGAAGCGGAGCTCACGTGACCGTTGCGGCGCCTAGAGGCACGACATCACAAGAGACGCGTCAGCGATTGGTCGAAACTAGAGACCATCACCGTCAGGTGATGGCGGAGGCCGCCAAACACATACTCCCGTTCCGTTGGTGTTAGGTCACTGAACGGAAGCCCGAACTTGCTCGCAAGAGCGGCATTGTCGTCCATGTTGACAGATCCGACGAAACGACCGCGCCACCGCGCTGCTATAACCTACCGCGATAACCAGAGTCTTGATCTCCTAAATCCTACCGATACCGACTATTCACACTTGACGTCACTCCCTATGTCACCTACGTTTTCGGAGGCTCAGAAATGAGAATGGAGATAGTTCAGTTTCGGTTTCTCAGTTCTTTCGTAGGCACAAAAATATGTGCCACAAATGTCTACGAAAAATTGGGCAGCGTGCTAGGTTCCCAAGAAGCCTAAAAACACCATTTAAAAAAATTAAATAAAATCATCTCCATTCTTTTTTTAAGGTGAGGGCCAGCCTATGGAGTGCCGAGCCATCGCTGCCAATGCTGCTCATCGTATTCGTTCTGTGCACTCCTTGACCGTGGCTCCTGCCTCGCTCAGTGATGCATGAGCAACCTCATGGTTGGTGCGCTGCGATATGCAACAATGCCAGTCGCTACAGATGTAATTCCAAACAATCATAGGAGTGATATGCATACAACAGTCAGATGTTGAGAGGACTTGGTAAGTCCTCAAAAAGCGAAAAAGAAAAATTAATTAAAGATTTACACAGCAGACAACATACTTGTAGTGCCGGCTGCTTTTTTCATATGTAATGCTTTCCTTTTTTTCTTCATTAATACATTTCAAAGCATAAGTGAGAACAACCTACCTTTGTACGGCCTGGCTTCCTTTATCACATGTTTAAGTATGAAGTTGATGCCTTCGCTGAGTATGGTTCCACAGAGGAATGTGATCTGGATGTTACAAAGATAAAAATATATAAATTTTTATTACGTATAATTTGCTTGTCCGATGCAAAAGAGGCGTAGCTAGAAACTCGCTAACAAACAGTACAGGATGTTTAATGTGACACAGCGGTCACGACATGAATCGACAAACTTCACTCACCGTGTGCAAATCTCTCCTAAAAATAATCAGTGTGCCAAACGAAACGAGAACCACCAACGGTGAAAGGGAGATGTATGCAAGGATTTTCCCTAACCAGTCACCTGGAAAAAAAATATATATACATATTAGGTTCAGCTAGTTATTATAACGAAAATGTGAGTATTAACAACTGCAAAGACTGATTTTGTGAGGAAAAAGTTAAGACAGCAAAAACTGGGATGAGGCAGGGAGTGCCCTCAACCATTAAACGAATTAGCATATTCTTACCGCTACCTAGATAGAGGTAAGAATCTCGTACGTGGGAGCATTCTTTAGTACTTTTTTTTTATATTGTTGACGTGTTAGTAGCCAAGCTCGTTTAATCGTCGTTGAATAAGTAACATTAAATGCGTTACGAGACTCGATCGCTGAGGAACACACACGAGAAGCGCCAACCACTGCCCGTCAACGTACCGCCCACCCAAAACAAAGCATTCTCATAACGAAAGACAAGTTAAATTATAATTATTTCGCACGAGGAATAAAGAAACCGCTCCAAATTTCAAAACGCTCCAACGGTAGCGCTGCCTTCGACGGCACCAGTTTCAATTTAAACGCGAACTCTTGTTCAAGAGGGTCCTTGTACAGTACAAGTTCGTGCTGGTTTTGAAAAAGGAAGCTGCGTTCGGCGGAAGTGAGGCCGTCATCTCAGGAAACTTTGCGTTTTTCACGATTATTTGCTTTGCTCAATCGCGACGTGGAGCTATTCTCTTTTTTTTTTTTTTTTTTTTTTTTCTATTCGGTAAGGATGTGCCAAAGGCGACGATCACTGACCGCCGGTTCCTTCAACTATACACACTAAGAAACGTTTCGGACTGACCCGAAAAACCGAGCCCACGAACCAGCATGCCATGTATCCATAAATAACCGGCTACGCTACGCTTTGGACGAATTCGAAACGCCTGACTCAACGATTGATTGAGGTTGTTGGCGACCGCGCCGGGTTTCGGCCCCTTCGTTACTAGTCGTGGGGCAATTGACGGCGATAAAATCGGCTCCGAGGTGTCATACCTGCAGGGTACTCGACGTGGGTGAGAGATAAAGAGGCCCATGTTTGAACTTCGTTGTTTAAATTACTTAGATCATCGGACAGAGGACCGTTCGCAGGTCCAACGCCGGCCATGTTTTGTTTGCGAACGCACACGATCTTTCCCAGTGTTGCAAATCTGCAAGAGTGCAGATGTAAACGGATTAATATCGACCACGTCTTGCATTGTGATTAGTAATAAAAAAACTAAAGTCACGTAATAAACAAATTTGTCTTGCTTTTTTATATTTGTTAGTAAACCTTTGAATGTTTCAATATTAATAGAAGGTCACTGAGTTCCTCAGAATCAACGCAATCAAGTCAAGTCAAGCCAAGTTCTTTTCAGTTTGTATGCCAACATGGCAGCCCCCTTGAAGCACGCGCTTCAGTTTGAAATCGTCGCAGAGTGTAGCGTTTCTAAAGCGAGGACAGCGATTCTGACCCTCCCTCATGCCGTTGTCGAAACACCAGTCTTTATGCCTGTTGGCACACAAGGAACCCTCAAGGGCTTGACTCCCGAGCAGATCGAGAACCAGAAATGCAACTTGATCCTCGCGAACACTTATCACCTCGGGATGCGACCGGTTAGTGCGATTCTCACGATCACCAAAATGCGCGGTAATAGCACACCGAGAATAGGGAGGAATGGGCTAAATGTGACTCTATTTGCACTATACTTTGCAATCGTAACGCTCGAATGTGAAAAAATAAAAATTTAGCTAAGGAGTTTGCGGTAGCCGGCATATGTTCCGTCTGTCTCGATTTCTTGGATCTCATGTGTGATTTTGTTTTCAGGGGATCGAGACTCTCAAGAAAGCCGGAGGTCTCCACAAGTTCATGTCATGGAAAAATGCTCTGTTGACCGTAAGCATATTCGTCTCTCGCCAACCGACAAGACCACGTATTTGGCGCAGATTTTCGTTTGTAGTGCAAAATAATATTCTTACTGAAGCTGAATTTGATTTGGCCTTGAAGAAGCTTGCGACGGTCGAAGAAAGTCGTCGTAGTTGATCGGCTGCCAAACCAATGCACAGCGATCTCCGCCAATCACACAACGCGACCGAAAAAAAAAAAATTGAAAAAGCAGGATTGTGGACTCCAGGACCTTTCGAGAAGACTTTTCTTGCTACAAAAGCTTCGAAAGCAACAAGAAAAAGACGGCACAATAGGAGGACGCGGCCACCCTAGAACGGCACCGTGTGCCTCGAAGGCTGAGACTGGAGTTAGCGTCTGCTGCTTTTCTCATAAAACAATTCTACACATGGCGGTTTAATTGATAGATCGAAACACAACTGCAAATTAGTCGGCTTATGGTATTAAGCACTCTCTTCCAGTATCATTTTCTTTTCTCCGAACTGCACAGTGACAAGCCCTCAATGGGTGACAATAAGGGGGATCAATGTGTTAATGCACTGCAGCTCAGAGCATGTGTAGCAAAAACTTGCGCTGCAAAACCCAGGGATCCTCGGTTCAATCTCCACCCCTGCCCATTTTGATCTGGATGAGTGTCGTATCAGCGTGCAGTTGTGTATCCCATGATGCGTGTAAGTGACTTCAAGTTAGCAGTCGTGCCGGTCGTACTGTACTGTACTAGCTAAGTTTCTCATGGATGGAGGGATGCTTATAGCTGTACCCTTTTTAATGGGCGGTAGCTCGCTCCACCTAGCCTAGAAACTAAATACCAAAAGTATGATTCCTCCCCTCGCCCTTCTAAGCCAATTTGCTTCCCCTCTGCAATTTTGTAACTGTCACCAGGTAGTGTGGGATATCACTAGAATGACTTTTGGGGGACCGGGCAAAAAAACTAAAAGCATCACCCCTTGCCTCCTCCCCCCAGCGAAGCAGTCGCCAATATTCCTCTGATGAAACCTAGTCGACATTACCCCAACACCGGGCCCACTGGGAGACAGGGTTGAGACTTGGAGCCGGAGCCACGTGGGAGGGAGTCCCAATTTTCCTCTGTCCTGCCTGTCCCCAGCTGTGCTAGTTAATTGTATGCCATTCAATTCTCCCTAAATTATTTCCACCAGTCTTTGAATCTCCTCTTTGTTATCAAAGTGCACTTATCATCCGTTTTCATCTACAGTGGATTACAGTGTTGTGATACTCTGGCAGACTAAACTCCTGGTGTTTAAACAACTAAAGACTAATTTGTTTATTTTGGTTTGGGTGACAGTGACAAAATTTAAAGAAAAAATGGTTGACGACAGTTACAGAATTAGTCAAAAATATAACAATCGCAGCTTTATGTTTCTATGATTGAGTTCTTTCTTCCCTTGGCTTGAAGGACAGCGGAGGATTTCAAATGGTGTCCCTGGTGAAGCTGAGCGAGGTGACGGAGGAAGGTGTTCGATTTGTGTCCCCGTACGACGAGCGGGAAATCATGCTGAGCCCCGAAAAGTCCACAGAGATCCAGAACACCATCCATGCCGACATCATGATGCAGCTGGATGACGTCGTCAGCAGCACAATCTCTGGACCCAGGGTGGAGGAAGCCATGCACAGGTGCCTCTCATTCTGGCATTTCCTTTTTACAGTGATAGCTGTTGTGGGCTTTTCCCACCACTGGAAACGGCGTCCGTTGTTGACGTTGTGGTTGTTGATGTTGATATTGTAGTAGTAGTCGTCGTCGTTGATGTTGTAGATGGCGTCGTAGGGTGTCCGTCGGTGTTGCCAAATCGTCAAAAAAGATTGCCTGCCACCTGCGGGAATCAGACCTGGGTCCGCTGCGTTCAAAGCGGAGGTGTAGCCACTGGGCTATGCCACAATGTTAACAACCTGCTCTAAAGTTGGGGGTTTTTCTAGTACATTTTGCCTACTGCCACGCTCTCTGAAATGGAAAAATAGCCTGTAAGAAAATGTTGCTGTAGCACTGTCAATATCAAATGCTCGTGCCTTGAGACGTGCTTTCACATGCTCCGGAACAAAAAAAAGAAACAAAAGTGTTCGGAACAAAACGGTCAGATGTCTATTTTGTGTTTGTATTACCTGATGCCCACTGCACGCACTCTCTGAAAAAGAAGAGTAGCCGGTAACAAAATGTTGTAGCATTGTCAATGCCAAATGCTCGTGCCTTGAGACGTGCTTTCACGCGCTCCGGAATAAAGAAGAAACAAAAGCGAGTCTATTGCTGTGACTGTACTGTTGATTAACACATGATTGCTGAATTTTTCATGCAACATAGTTATTCTGGTTACATGATAATTTTCTTCTTTGTTCATTCTAGGACAATCCGGTGGTTGGACCGCTGCAGATCAGCTCACAAGAATGCTGCAACACAGAACATCTTCCCCATTGTGCAGGGAGGTCTGGACGCCAAACTGCGGACACAGTGCGCTTTGGGTAAGTCAGCCGTGTGTGTGTGCGGGCAACCTCTGTCACGCACAACTTCCTTGATGGACTTGCTTTGTAAAAAGAATAGTGTGAGGGATGTAGGATGGACATCATGGATCTAGTATAGATGTGATGGATGTAAAATGGATGTGATGAATGTAGTATAGATGTAAAATAGATAGGAGGGGCTGTTGGATAAATGTAGGATGCACTATTAGTGAATGGTGATGAATAGATGAGGGGGTCAGCTGTGAAACCCGTTTACAGTACCTTACTTTACTTCATGCTAAGTAGAGATTGAGCTTTTCATATTTGTGTCGACTGTACTACTTGCCTGAGCAACCCTTAACACAACATGGCAAAAACTTGTCTCTCCGGTGCAGAGCTCTTGAAACGAGACGTTGCTGGATACGCCATTGGAGGGCTCAGTGGCGGGGAGAGCAAGGAGGAGTTCTGGCCCATGGTGGACATCAGCACCAATCTGCTGCCCAAGGGCAAGCCCCGTTATCTCATGGGAGTGGGGTGAGCGCCTTCGGCCACACATTCTGGCAGTTACTTCATGGTCTATCATTTGTGTAGTGAAGGTCCCACTGGCTATAAAGTGCTGTTAATTTGGCAAAGTATGATTAAGAACGCATTAATTTTGGGCTTGAATGATGTTGGTTAAAGTGCCCCAGTGCTCTCTTTGGGGTGGTTACTCTTTTTTTTACCCAATGCTGACAGCATGCGATCACGGGAAAGATACAAAAAGCTTAAAGGCCAACGAGCAGCCGAGAAGGAGGAGACTCCCTCAATTCCTTCTTTCCATTCGAGAAAAAAGGAGACCCTCCTTTCTGTGGGACGTAGCTCTGAGACCTGCTCCTGTAGGGAGAGGAGGAGAGAAAAGTGTGAGGGGGAAGGGAGATAAAGAAACTGGGAGCCAGTTTTCTTCCCAGCTGAAGACAATACTCTAAGTCAATCTTTAAACCAATAGATGCTTTTTGACATCTTCCAAAGCAAAGAAATTAAAGAAGCACCATGCCTGATGTCACCTCCCAAAGACAAATGCATACACATTAAGGTTCTTTAATATAGGCCACCTTCAGGAAATAATTGTTAGGAACTAGGGCTAAAAGAACAACGACAATGTTCACTTGTCTGGCACCGGTCTGCCATCATGGATTAAAGACATTTTTATCCAGGCTACTCGCTTAACTGCAGCACCAGCAAATATGGTCGCCACATTGTTACAGTAATCTCTTCTCTTTTCTAAATGGCTTTATTTTTCTTACGTGCACCTAATTTTCTATCAGAAAGCTTATTTAGAGCTGCTAGTTTGGTTCCATACCCTTAAGATGTGGAAACTATAATGTCAAATCTTGCGCTTGGGTAGAGCCTATATTTTCTGTTCGTAACAGCATCTTTTAGGCATTTTGCTATTTTACTTTGAATCGGTGGTGAAGTCTTCACCATGTAAAGACTTCAAATCACATTGGATTGCTCATTTTCCTTGCAGCTTTGCAGTTGACTTGGTTGTATGCAGTGCACTGGGCTGTGACATGTTTGACTGTGTCTTCCCCACAAGGACTGCCGTGAGTTCCTCCTGTTCATTTTAGTACTCATGCATTGGGCACAGATAATCAACCCAAATGTTTGTCTTAAAATACCGATCAAGCCCTCGCCTAAAGTTGGCAAATAACTTTGTCGAAGTTGAGGGTAGGTCTTTGTGGCGACGTGGACATATGCTGGATGCTTTGTGTGCCTTTGATACTTCTAGATGAAAATGGGATATCTCCATGTCAGGGCTCTCCCCAGGAATTTCTGAGGGGTGGACATTATCCGGGGGAGGGGGAAGGGGGGGGGGGGGGGAGGGGGGGCACGCACGCGTTCGTTCTTCTTTGGGGGGGGGGGGGGGGGGGGGATTTGTCGCGTCTGTTTATTGCCATTCCCCCCCCCCCCCCCCGGGCACTGCCGGCGGCGCACCGTTGAGATAGAGAAAGAAAAAAAAAAAAAAAAAAGAAACATGCTGAGCGCTCGCGCTGTTTGTTTGAAGCAGTGTGGCAGTGGCGGGAGTCAGCAATGCAATAGCAAACGATAACATGGCGGTGCGCGGACCTGCTGAGTACAACGGCGACAGTCTGCAGCCATGTGCGCAGGCAAATTCGCATCGTCATCCCGTGGCATAAAAAAAAATTTAGTGGTGGGCGGTCAGTTGGAGCGGTGGGCAGTCAGTCGGAGCGGTGGGCGGCCAGTCTAAGAAGTGGGCGGCAGAGCCACTGCCACCCACCGTGGGGAGAACCCTGCTTCATGTGTATTACACGCACACTTGGCAGACTAAAGTTATCGCAACATGGTTGCCAAGCATATTGGTGCACCACCGCTTGGAGCACATGGAGCGAAAACTCTCACAGCAGAATCCAGGGATTTTGCGTTCGGTCTTCATGCCTGACCGTTTCACTCTGGACAGACGTCATGCAGGTGTGCGTTTGCATATCAACACTATGCACCAGGCTAACGGTTGCACTGTACAAAATAGATATTTTTATCTTCAGTGTGAACCATTTTTACCATAATGGTCTCACGCTTTCTAAAAATCTAACGTTTATAATTTAATATGGTAAGGGTGCAGGCAAGCTGGTGAATACTATTAACCACGTTGAATTAATCTGAGACTGGGGTAGAGAAGAAACATGACAATGTCGAAGAGACAAAAAATAGACAGGATGGCGCCTCAAACTCGGTTAAGGCTGCGGTACCACGGCGGCCATCTTGAACAAAACATTAGTTGAACCACCAGGGCGGCGTTGGCTGTCCGTATGAGCAAATGCTGCAAAACCTGCGCGCCAATTTCGAAACCCTTTTTCCCGTCGCTTGCGACCTTGAGTTTCCTTCTCCACTCTTACGCCCCTCCTTTCACGTGTTCACCCTCTGGCGCGTCGCGCCCACGTTCATTGTTGGGAGGACAATGTACCGGATAATCCCCAACTTGAGGCCCCCTGCCAAAATTGTCCGGCTGCCAAGTGATTTGAGCGAGATGGGGTTTTGAAGTGGTATGGAAAAGTGGGACCGTCAATTTTGAACTATGCCTTTTCGATACTGCATAAGTTGTGTACGGGGCTGGCCAAGGCACGGGCGCGAGGACGTAACTGTATACAATGCTTGGGTTGCAGGAGCACTCGCGCGTAGAAATGGTAGGACGCGCTTTCTGAAATCACACGCCTACATTCCGCAGCGTTGCAATCCTACGAGTAAAACAGAGTACATCTTCAGACAGTGCGTGAGTTGATGCCGGCCGTACGAAAGACACACCTCGCGCTTCCTGTCACTACTGCCTCTGCTTGCACGCGCTGCCGATTGGCGGTCCTTTCTTTATTTTGTTTCGTCGCTCTTTTGAAAATACTGAAACTAATATTTTCTCAGACCCTGCTCATCGTACCTCTGCACAGTTGTGTAAACACGTTGTGATGTAATTTGAGATATGGGACGGAGTGTCTACATTCTTATTTCGTGTGTAATGCCGGCATAATATTCCTTTGCTGCCAGAGGGTCAAAATAATGGTAGGGTCGGCAGCAAAAACTATTTCAATGACCGAATTATGATCAAACACCAGTAAGAACATAAAAAAGAAATCACATGGGGACAATAAAAATATTGCTACAAGAGGATGGTGCGTGGGGCACAAACAATATTCGGAGTGACGTTGAGGGAACGCGACAAGCCAGATCTTTCCTGATGGCAGCCGTAAAAGTTGATCTGGTGCCTCGTTTTGATCGGCTTTGCACGGAAACTCGTAAACTACCGACTATCTTGTCAGTGGTGAACATAGTGAGCATGAACTGGATGATTTTTTTGTTCTTGTTTTTGTTTCTGTGGTTAAATGAGAGTATGGAAATATGAGACGTCCGCTGACGCTTGCGTCGGCTAACGGAACCTCAATCGCCGATCGCGGCCGATGTCATGGGCGTATACAAATACATCAAGTCGTCTGGGCGGGAGCAGTTGAAGCGCCGCACTTTTTTGGCCGGTCAGTAGAGACTCCGCGAATTCTGACTCGAGGCTACTCTGTGCGGAGGGAGCCGCTACTGAGCGCGACCAATCGGAAACCAAGGATGGCTGAAATTTCCTAATTGCCATGAGATTTGCAAATTCGTTCTTCCCGCCGTAGTAAATTCGTCCGAATCGCTATTCGATTTACTAATCGATTATTTGGATGAAAAGATATATTTCAAAATTCGTACGTGGCTCACCAAATGGCAATAAAATTGGTATAGGATTTCAAACCTATATAGTGTCGCCCTAATTTACAAACTTGTTTCACTTGAAATTAGAGTTCACGCGCAAGCGAGCTGGTGGAAGCCTATACTAAAAAGGCCAGAAACAAGAGAAACAAAAACTAAATAAATAAGAGCGGGATAAGCGCAACACAGTCTCAAATCACAGCTGAAAATGGTTACTTGGTAAGTGTAAATGTCCAGACATTGTATTAGTAAAATGTATATATATATATATATATATATATATATATATATATATATATATATATATATATATAAATAAATAAAAAGTCAAAAATGCGTACTGTCGGAGTTATTAATTCGAAGTTTATTCCGACGTTTCGAGCGGGGACCGTTCTTCATTAGGTGATGAAGAGTGGTCCCCGCTCGAAACGTCGTAGTAAACTTCGAATTAGTAACTCTGACAGTACGCATTTTTGCCTTTGTATATATATATATATATATATATATATATATATATATATATATATATATATAGAGAGAGAGATAGGTAGATAGATATTTTTCACTATTTGCTGACGGCCGAAACTAACTATGCAACACAACAAGTAAAACCACAGAGCTGCCCCGCCTCATATCACCCTCAGTTGGAGCTCGACTGACACATTGCGCCGATCAAGCATCACCAACAGCTCAACACCTAAACGCCACGGCGTTCACTATCTTTGTTTGGGTAATTCCACCCACTAATATAACAACTCATACAATGCGCCGTGATAAAGTGCTTTTTGTCTTTGTGTATGTGTTTTCGTGACATCCAACCTCTGTTTGCGCTCTGACTAAGAATGAAACCATGTATACTAAAACATCGATAGTGGTCTCTATTTTTAGCGACGCTCGCACACGTCTTGCCTTTGACGCAGTGGCATTCTCATCCCCCATACACGGACATTTGGACAAAATAGGTTGGTCGGCCTTCACTCATTAGCTGCGGAACGTTTTGACCGTGACGTATGTATAATTCAAAGAAGCACCGACAGGCGGGTGCCCCTTTGAAAACAAATCATGTTCGCGTAGAGATATTTAGCGGCTATAGTATAGTCCGTGGCTATTTATTTCTAGGCCAACTCGTCGGCGTCAGTCGGTACAGGCGCTGGAGGCGTGATGAAAATGCTGGCAGATGTCGGCTTGACGAGCCCCACACTCTCCCCTTACAGCAGATGGCAAATAAACCAACAACAATATTTGTCGACGGGCAATTGATTGAAGAGGCCAATCGGTAGTAGGATGACTCGACAAAGGGTAATTCATCAAAAATTCCAACTCGTTGACAATTGTTTGTGAGGCCATTCAGTTTCCACATTGCACTCATCTTCTGTATTAGAACACATACACATGTTAGACATTTTAATATAAGCAAGTTTCGGGCACCGGATATTTTTTTGAAAAGCTGTTTCACCGAATTTCGCATCTCCCGGTTCGTCGAATTTTGATATGAAATCATAATATAATTATTATACTTGTCACTTCTTCAATTAGAAATGGTTACAGATAATTATAAAATAAAAGTAGGCTTTCGCAAAAATTATGTCGATTATAGGCTATGCCAACGTAGCCGAACAGTAAAAAAAAAATCTTATGAGGGTGTTTTTGTTAGGGTTCAAAAAAGACAAAGGCGATTCTTCAAATGAGCACTGGTCACACAGGCCGACTGGTAACATAATTAAAATAAAAGCACCGATTTCACAGAACAGGAAAAAACAATTTCACTAGACGTTTCGCCTCCATGAATAAACGCCTCCATGAATAAACGCCTCCATGAATCATGAATAACCAACTCGCCCAAGCTGAGGTTCTGACCAGTTTCGCCTCCCTTGCGGGAGGCATCTTCAGTAGTCACACAACAATGCCTGTGTAAGCTTCGTGGAGAGGGCCGCGTTTTTTGTTACACACGGATGTGTGTGTCCCTGCGAACAAACCACGATTCTAGGATTTTCGGGACCCCCATCTGTCCTCCCTCGCCAAGGTCGTCGCGGCCGGGAAGTCAAAATAATGCCCTATTGTCCACACATAGTACACCAGTTCAGACTTCAGTCGGGTCGCGTGGGATGCGCACGTGACGTCACGCTTGTGTTTACAAAGCAAATGAAAAGTTCAACCTCAAGTCAACGCTATTTATCAAATATGTCCGTACTTCGTGGAGAGGGCCACGGTTTTTCTTACACACGGATGTGTCTCTGAGAACAAACACGATTTTAGGAGATTTTCGGGACCCCCATCTTTGTCATAGGGTGACTCGTTTATCGGACTGTTCGTCGCAGCGAGAGTACAGGGAAGGATAATAATTCATACCCTATATGGCTATATCGTGCAGAAGAGAAGAATATATAAAAAAAAAAGAAAACGAAGCGAAAATTTCGATTTCCTTTCTTGTGGACAGGGCATTGTAGGTGAACGTGGCTTCCTTGTTTGATTCGCCAAAGTAGCAACAAAGCGGCATTTTACGATCGAGCGAGCACCGTCGGAAACACTGCCCAAAATAATTTTATAGGGAGTTTCACGGCTTTCCACTGCGACATAAGCACGTGGATAGAAAAACAAATATTGACAACAATAATTGTCGAATATTTTTGGCACGCTCACACCTGGTTTTTCTTCATAATTTGATGACTCATATGTTGATTTTGTTTGCGGAACCGTACTTCTGACCGGCAATTTTATTGCGTACGCGAAGCTTTTGCGTGCGATCCACTACAGTTAATTATTTTGGGGTGTCCAAGTTGAAGCGGTGCGTGTTATTTTTCGATCTCTGTCCGAATGATACAAAGTTTCACGTTTTCACCCTGTGAGTGAAGTGAGTTGGTCAGTGCTAGCATCGAAGGCTAACTTCGAACTCTAATTTGGAAATAATGTCTCTGTTGCCGCATCGCGGACAAAGATATATATGCTCTTATCACTGTAGCAAAATAACGTGGCAGGATTTGTGCTCTTGTTATGATCGTGTACCATTGTAGTCGACGTCATCCCAGCACGGCGTATCGTTTTTGTATTCGGTTCAGCCCTGCAAACCACACTTAGGAAAAAAATGAAAGTTTGCACCTTGTTTGTTCAATTTTTTGTTATACTGCAGAAACATATTGCGCCCCGTGTTTTTGAAGGCACGGTAGACGGTGGTGACGGTGAGGTGACCGACCCCCATGTCAGCCGGCGTCTCGCTCGACCTCCTCGGAGGACAGGTCGTTTTTACTGGTGACTGGTGCATACGTGGAGCAACTCCGCGCGCATTGCGTTCTTCATCTCAGAGAACGCAATACATGACTCAGCTCTATCTCGTCATCGTTCCAAAATGACAAGTGGAATTCGCAACTGTAGTCGGTGACAGGTCAAGAACGAAGTGGGAGCTCCTCCCACCCTGTTCCACTTCAGCGGAGCGAACGGGGGAGAGGAGGTCGCCCCCTCTCCAGCGTTCGCGAATGGCAAATATTAGTTTATTAGGCCACTAACTGTCAATTTACGCTCGTTCCTTTACGTCCGCCGCAGCCGATAATGTTATCCCCGGGAATACCAAAAGTATAATTTCATTCAGCAAAAAAAAACAAAACAAAACAAAACAGAATAATAAAACGCCCGGTATATCACAGCTTTGACAACGCTTCACGTGTGTGAGGTTCGATGACCGACAGAGAACCACCGCTGGCCGTGCTCCCGAAGCGGGGAAGTGCAATTTATGGAGACCGATCATATTATCAGAAAGGTGCAGACTAGGGAGCCTTCATGTGCGCGAAGCGCACATGGAGGCACTCTAATGCAGACAATCCAGGAAAAGTATTCTTGCAACTATGAGGTTCAGTTGTACTTACACATGCATTATCGTCAAATTTGACGGAGTTCCTTCCAACACTAAAGAGTTGTCAAGAGTGAAGATTATAAAGGAGAATATCAGCAGGAATCTATTGTCTGTTTACTGAAAACAAAACAAGCATCAGAAAAACGCATTTGGGCGGCCGGGGAGGCCAGAAGCACGGACTGCGCACCCAGCGTGGTACCAGCGAATGAGAGGGCACTCCTAGCAATCTGTTTTCAGAGCCACGGTATGCCGGCTGCCGGCCAAATGTCCACTTTAATTCTATTATGGCTTTCGAAACGTAAATACACGCTCGAGAATTTTCAACAATATCACGCGAGCGCCGACCGGCCTGTAGATCAGCCAACGAGGTTGAGATCAGCGCATCGTCACGGCGCGAAGTAGCGATATCAATGACAGTACGCGCGCGCGCAGGAGAAACGCGCCGAAGTCGGCGTCGGCTGCTAAGCTGTTTCCCCAATCACGACCCACACCTGGCGCGACGCCCACCGCTTGCTCCACCCCATAAGCAGGGGACCTAGTAATCAAAGCGACACACACGGTACGCAAACACGAACAGCAGCCAGTAGGAAGGACACCGACACGAGCTTAGTCAGTGAACGGAACGAAAAGACAGACACAAACTTCACTCTAGGCAAACAAAGCAGGGGTAGTTACAAGGATGAGATGCGTGCGCAGACGGAGGTAAGCAGTGCACAATAAATACGCGAAAACTCGCAGCAACCGAAGAACTACGCAGCAAACACGTACGTGCACACGCACCAGAAGCACGTGCGTCACGCTGCGTATCTACGCAGAACTGGCGATTTTGGCACTTCGGTAATTTGAAACTTCGATATCGATTCCGTGAACAATTTATTCAGCAAACTGAACCGGTGGAGCCTCGCATAAAAAAAAAATCGTTTAACAATATGAAAGCGACTGAAATTCTTCCTAAAAGCTATATTAGCAGAAAGTACCGTGTTATAAAGGACCTCACGAGTTTCGACCAAGTTTTCCAGCACGTTATTTTTCAAGAAACGGAAGAAGCCAAGTGTACAACCAGTTTCCGAAGCTGGCAACCACAGCTGGAATCAGCGCCATCCTCGGCAGTTTCCTGAACCTCGCGTAGTCACATTTAAGCCACCGCCACATAGAGGGCGCAACCAGACATCCAATTTGTGTTTTCTGTGTGTTTTATGATTCTTTTTAATAAATAGGCTCGATTAGTGAAAATGTGGGCTAATAATCAGGACCTGGAACAGTAATCTCCATTTAATACTAAAAAATCGGCCTAAATGTCTGCCAAAAGGGGTCAAAATACTCGTTTTTGACTATCAACAAATACGTGATTTCACCTATATTCAAACTTTTTTTATGGAAAATCAAAAGTGAAATTTAGAAAAAGGGCCTCGCTTTGCAAAGCAGAATATGTTTTTCTTTGCGGGCCTACAATTTTATTCATGTGTGCCAATCCCTAAGCGCTGTACCACTGTACTACCAAATGAAGTTTGCCAAAATTAACGGTTTTTGTCACTTTTCACGTGAGCATTCCGAAAAAAGTTTAAGCCATATTACAATGAAATTTAGCGTAACTCTTTCGACCATAATTACAAACTGATGTAAAAAGTTTCAAATAAAATGACCGAGTAGGCGCCCAAAACTTCGCGACTGAAGTGCTTCCGCAAAGTCAATTTTTCTAAAGTAAATATCTGTCAAAATAAAATAAAAAACGAAAAAATGGCCTCCGTTGACAATGAACGCACTCTTCTTCTATAACATTTTAAAATTAGAAAGAAATTGCTCCAATAGTGCACCCTGTACCACTGTACTACGAAACCATGTTTTGCCGAAAAGGTCAATGTTCGCGAGTGCCCTCTGAATTAGCTTTTTGCAGTAGGAAAACAAATCCTACATCAGATAAAAGATAATGTTGTACACTACAAGGTGATATATAACACATAATTTTAGCAAGCTTGAACACGCCACGATCGCATTTCGAAAACGTGCTGAAAGCGTCATATGTCATGGCCGCCGTGGGACCGCAGCCTTAACTTGTTTATTTAGCCCACCTCCTTATACAGCCTCAATCTCAAGGCCATCCCCCCAACACAAAAGGATGAAGTCTATACAGTTCAAGCACCACAGTCTACATTGCACAATGTAAGAATGTGGACAACGTTACAAGTCAACGCGATAAGGCAACATCCGTCCTCCTTCAAACTTGTTCAAAAGGATCTCTTTCCCCTTCTCTTCTAAACACAGTTCCCATTTCTGATTCACAAGATGCCCTCTCCACCTAATACCCCCAACATCGCAACATGCCGAAAAATTGGTATGTTGCGAGAGTAGTGTTGTGTATAAAATACCATTGGAGTGTGGGTTTAAGAATGTAGGACAGATGTCACGCTGCATCAATGACAGATTAAACAAACATAAAAGAAATGTGAAGAACAATGCACAAAACTCGTAAATCACAAAACATATCCATGAATGTAACAACTGCACAGTGCTCTGGGCAGAGACTGAAATCATACACAAAGAGAGGAACGATGTAAAAAGAGTGTTAAAGGAGACTGTGCAGATAAAATCTCTAGGCAATTGTATAAGTCAAACTTCGCTACAGCTCGGAAGCAATTCAAAAAGCTCTTCAAAAATGTAATGTCGTTTTGTTTGTTGTGTATTTTGAAGTGTGAATTGGGAAGCCCCTGATTGTGATTTTTATTTTATTTTTGCTGTTTTGGTTTTTGACGTGTGTTGGCCCGAAGGTCGTTTTGGTGTTTTTCTGTTGGTAGTAGATGGAGGGGGCGGGGCGTCTTTTGATGCAAAAGTGGGAACTGTGTTTAGAATAGAACGGGAGAGACATCCTTTTGTTCAAGTTTGAAGGAGGATAAATGTTGCCTTATCATGTCGACCTGTAAGGTTGTCCACATTCTCACATTCTGTGAGGGAGGCTGTGGCGCTTGAACTGTATAGACTTCATCCTTTTGTGTTGGTGGAGATGGCCTTGACGTTTAGACTATATAAGGAGGTAAACTAAATAAAACGAGTTAGCTGACTTTGAGGCGTCATCCTGTCTATTTTCTGTCTCTTCTACATTTTGATGTCTCTTCTCTACCCGAGTCTGAGGTTAATTCAGCATGGTTAATGATCTATAATTTGTTTCTTCAGAGGTTTGGCAGTGCTCTGGTCTTGGGAGGACAGCTGCATCTCAAGGGCACTGAGTTCCGCAACGACTTCCGCCCGATCGAGGAGGACTGCCCGTGCTCCACCTGCCGACACTACACCCGAGCCTACCTGCACCGCATCGTCAAGCAGGAGACTGTGGCTTGCCATCTGGTGTCGGTTCACAATGTCAACTTCCAGGCAAGCCAAGCAAAACTTATCGATTTTAGGAAGGAAGGACCTCAATGGTCCCCCTTGAAAGTCCTCAAAAGAAAAAGTTTGGTTTCATTTTTCGTGGCCCGCTCACTTATGCCGTTCCTGAATGTTTCAAATTTCAAAGAAAGAAAGAACTTGGGTGTTTCATGCTGATGTTACATTTTAGGACCGCCTTAGTCCCAAATGGCTGTGAATGAAATGTGACTTGCACGCAGCAATAGGCTTTGAAGGTTTTCGGCATTATTATTACCCGATGCCAACGGCTCGTAGGATAAGCTGGACATTGGTGTGATCCTTGCGTGTGTCTACCTCGCTTTCTGGCTTTCAGATGAGGCTGATGAAGAGTATCCGGGACAACATCAAGGCCGGCACTTTCGTGGACTTCGTAAAAGGCTTCATGAGCATCTATTTCCCGGGGGGCGACTATCCAGCCTGGGCGGTCCAAGCTCTCTCTTCTGTTGGCATCACCCTGGACTGAAAAGTATGAAAGGACCCCATACTTGGAATCAACTGTTTTGTGAAACACTGCCGAGGATAGCGTAGCTTCCACAGTGCCGTAGCTCCACACTGCTGCGAGAGCATGTGACTTCGTCTTGTGCTAGCCTTGACGGCTTAGCACAAAGTGGTTGATGCCGAGCATATTAACTTTGGCAGCAGGATCGCCATTGGGCGGAATCGCCCACTGAGAATATGGCCTCTTGGAAATGCATTTGGGGGATTTTAGTGCATGGCACACATCTTTTTTGGCTTATAGCTAGGGTTCTTAGTTTTTAAAGAAAAAACCAAAATAAGGTCCTGCTTCTCAATTGCGTCTTTATTTGTGTATTTTTTGTTTGCAATTTTAGCAGATTTTGGGGTGCTTTTTTTGTATTGTTCAAAGTGATGCGAGGGTGTTCTATTTATTCTCTTAGGAAATAAAAAAAATGGGAAGTTCGAGGCATTGGTTGTGCCTGTCTGTTAATTTACTTTCCTTGTGTCGGGTAAATCGTGGAGGATCATGTACGAGCTCACCTGCATTTTCAGTGCAGCAGAGTCACTTCATTCACGATAGTCCATAAAATGCCAGTGCATATTAGAGAAAATGTTTCTCTATTTATGACACTTTAAAATGTGATGTAAAAGCTCCCATTGTTTTTGTATTCACTTAAGTTTTGTTTGCATCTTGGGAACCACAGAGGAAATCCTTGTTCATATGTGATACCCATGACATGCCTTCAATTGATGTATAATCATTTATAACAGATTTGTGGGAATGTTACCCTAGATATTTTGAATGGAGAGCGTAAATTTAGAAAGTGTGAACATGGTTAAAATTGCGCACAAATAGAAAGGTACAGAGAAGAGGGAAGAGAGAAGAGACAAGCGCAATGATGGTGTGTGTCCTCCGCGTGCTCGGGTGCCCCCGTGCGAGTGTGGCCTCGGCTCGAGCTGATATCGAGGGCTGTTCTTTTTTCTTCCTTCAATACATCGAGTTGTGAGTTTGCGCTTGTCTCTTCTCTCTTCCCTCTTCTCTGTACCTTTCTATTTGTGCGCAATTTTAACCATGTTCAATCATTACCAACTCGCCCAACTAACCACTTTACTACAGTTTAAAAAGTGTGTTGCTACCATTGTTTTGTCCTAACTTTCCTTTTTTTTTTTTATTGTGTCCGAACAATTATGCTATTATCTGGCATTGATGAGTGCAGCACTAAGGAGGCATCAAGCTGTTTGTGGGTCGCTCAAAATAAATAAATTAAAAAAAAAGAGGAAGTACCCTTTTAAGCTTGAACTATACAGGCATACTCATGTTGCATCTCACCTGAAAATTAAAAAGAACAATAACTGACTACCGTAACATCCCGAGAAATGACCCAACCCTGAGATAACTCACCTCTATTCCTAGCTTGATTTTTAGCTTGCCCACTCCTAGTAAGTGTAGTTTCGGATCAATGATGACCCCGGTGTAAATACAGGTGTCTTTTCTACACTACCCCTCGCCGCGATAACAAGTTTGGCAGAAACAGAAATACTAAAAATAGCATTTTTCCAACTTTTCTTACTTGCACTCCAAAAGTTACACTCCTATTTTTCACCCGATTTGCTCGCAATTTTAGGTGGGCTATGTCTCAAAATATTACAATAAACGTTTTCTGCTTTTTTTTTTAGCATAAGTTTAACGATGTTGAATCAGGAGGTTTGCTGCACCAATTTTGATTCAATAAAAGTTCTACCCAGCACTTCAAGGCAAACGCACCACATTTGGGTACTCGTGCGACAATGCCATCTGTGCAGAAAACATTTTTGCTGCGAATCGTTTTCTGAACCTAATCATCCGCTGTTTATGTATATGTAGCACCATGATCGGACTCTATGTGCCCTTTAGGAAACAATAGGCACATCCTTTGTTCAGGAACATTTGATCTATTACTCGAGAAAATAATGTACCATTATTATACTTTACAATAGAAAATAAGGTTTCCGTTTCCTATTTCCTGTGCCCTCAGCTGGGATTCGTGTCTTTCATTGTGGTCAGACTAACACAGCACTAGTCTTTGTACACACTGAAAAGAAGATTGTTGCAAACGAAGGACACAGATGTTATTGAAAAAAGAATTGCCTTTATTATATATTTTTTTTCTCAGTGGTACGAAAGAGACAAGCTACAGGTTCTCAAAACACATTCATTTTCGGCCATCGGTGATCTTGGTGCGTGAATCACCTCGATAAAGTGCATCCACTTTAGTTACTTACATCATGACCTGTCAAATTATCCTACACAAAATTTGTAAAAAAAAAAAAAAACTTTATATTTATATATATATATTTGCATAGTCCCAGGGAACATTTTGTACAAAGTTACTTTTACTTTCATTCACTGCCGTTCACATGACCTAAACACCGGCACATGCTCCGTAAAAGCTTAGAAAATGATGCTGGCCTTTCTCTTCGTTCGATGGCTTATAAAACGTCCAAAAGGGCCTCTTCAAAATGAGTCAACAGTTAAAAAGTATGTATTTACAGCTGCATAGTTGTTGGCATGACTTACTGAGTACATCAATTCTACTTTTCACTGGCTGGTGTCATCATGCTTTGAGTTAAATACTGGTGGGTTTTAAAGATTTACTGCCACAAGCTGGGTAAATTATTTTGGCCCCTTTTGGTGAAATAAATACTGAGATGACAGAAAAATGCACTGCTCATACAGCAACTGGGCACGAATTCGGGAAGGCTATGTTTTATAGCATGCAGTACAAATTTAGCAAATCGGAGGAAGGCACATTTATAAGTTGTATTTGCATAACTTGCGGTTCTATTATGGCAAGTGGCTGAACTGGCAAGAAACACCTCGGAACCGTAGGTGCCAAGAGCTGGTCGGGGCATTGTAAGATTTTCGTTGGTGCTATGATGGACGTTCTATGTACAAGCACACGCTACCCCACTTTCACTGAGAATCATAGTGAGTTCCTACTCGTCCAAACAGAAAAAACTTGTTGACTGGTTGTTCTAGCGCTCGTGTCGCAACTGCCATTAAAGAAACACAGCATCTGTCATATGGCAAGCAAAGCATACTAAACACACTACATCGGAACACTTAGGCAGAATTGTGGATGTTATGCATGTTTTTATCTGGCATTAAGGATCACTAAAAATTGCTGGGTTTACTTTACTAGGATTAGACTTTAAAAAAGTGCTGTCAACTTAACTACTTTTGCTAAAGCACTTAGGCTGCTTTTTGTAAGAACGGAAAAGTTACACACCTGCCGCCTGAAATTGTAATTACCTACGAGTTCTTTCTCAGAAAACTCATTTTTAGGAAGGAGCTTGAGTCTGAACGGTTCTATACACAGAATGACAAGTCTAAACATATAGTATGCAGGACACTGTAGCCTATATAGACAAAGAACGAAGTACCGGTAAAATTCATGGCCGAGTCTTTCAAGGAGCAAGCCATTGATGGATTTCAGAGCCGTGGCATACTGGGAAACGGGCAGCAGTGAGAAAAGGAGGTTCTATAAATAAGTTACCTTACAGTCACGCTCATAAACTCTGCTCTCTTTGCCTTGCTCCTTGAAATCATCACCAGTCTGTTGCTGTCATATTTTTTTATTTTTTTTTATATTCCTATTTCACTCGCTTCGTTTCTTGTTTGTTAACTGCTGCAATAAAATTTTCAAACACCAAAACCAATACAGCTTTTTTTTTTTAAATTTGCAGTAGATCTTTAAAATACAAACAAACAAATACACTGAGTAGTTTTCAATGAACACAAATCTAGAGAATGAGAGGCGGCGTTGCACAACATAGTAAATGCCGACCGTAGCGAAGGAGCCGCGCATCCTCCGGGGCACGCCACGGTGCACGATGGCATTGTCCGCCCTCTCGAGCAACCATGCGCTGCGACATGGACCTGGCCACGAGCATAACGACTCGTCGTGAGAATTCCAGCCTAGCGCATCTAACAAAACCTATGTACAAGAGAAAAAAAACAACATAAAACATTCTGGCACGCAAGCAGCACACTGCAGTTTCGTTTCGGCACAGACACGGGTTCGTCTCGAACGGTAGTTCTCGCACGACACTCGGAACGTACGGGACGAGTCCACAAGATCTCACGAGTTCCGCATCCGTCCGCGAGCACGCGCGCACGAGGTTCGAGGGTTTAGATGAACACCGGATCCGGGTGGGTCAGTCCAGCCGGCTGGACGGTCTGCTGCTGCTGCTGCTGCTGCTTGAGCTCGCATCCCCCAAGCGCCTGCTGCCCAAGGGGGCTGGAGATCCCTTCCGACCAGTCGGACTGCGCCGAGTGCGGCGAGGAGCTGGACCACTGTCCTGGAGACTCCGGCGAGGGCGTCAGGTAAGTCTCCGCCGGGTGGAGGTAGTGCTGGGGCGTGGCCTCGGGCCCGCCGCCATGGCTGTGCTGGGACGGGGGCGTAGGGTAGTGGTAGTAGGCTGGCTGGACGGGGTAGTCATACGTGGGGGCACCCTGCTGCAGCTTGTGCTGGTGTGCGGCCCTCATGGCCGCCATGTGGGTGGGCGACGTGGGCAGCGAGGGGCGCTGCTTGGCAGGCGAAGAGGCCATCGTGTATCCACCCATGGACGGGACCGAGTTCTGTCGCGGGTGCTGTTGCTGCTGGGCCATCGGGGCGTTGGCGTAGGCCTGTGGGTCGTACACGGCCGTGTACACGGGCCCCACGCAGTCCTCGTAGCACGGTGGCTGCTTGGTCAGCGTGGCCACTCCGCCCTGCTGGAGGAAGAGCGGCCCACCCGGAGATTCGTGCGGAGAGTCGAGCGGGTGGGGCACCTCTGGCAATGGCATGGGTGGTTCCCTTCGCTTCTTGATGGAGGGCCGCCGCTTGACATGGTTGACCTCCGCGCCGGGTGACGTCGCAGACGCGTCAAGGTGCTGCAGCGCGATGCTCGCGTTGCCATTGTTCTTGGGCTGCTGGCGCCGCTTGCCCTTGGCCGACTTGGTGGAACCAATGACGGTCGGATTGGAGAGCAGCATAGGGGGGCTGCCCAGCCCGGGGATCTGGGATGACGGGACGTACTTGTCGAGCAGGTCGACGATATCAAGGTGCATGCGGTCACGAGCCACGTCACGCGGCCGCCGGTCCATGTGGTTGGTGATGTCTCGGTTGGCAGCGTGGTCGAGCAGCGCCCTCACCGCATTGAGGCTGCCCTCACGGGCTGCTAAGAACAGCGGAGTCTCTTCGTGAATGTCTTGCGCATCGCGGTTTGCGCCGTGCGCGAGCAGGATGCGCACGGAGGTGACGTCATTGACGGCGGCGGCCCAGTGAAGGGGGGTGCGGGCGTCGCAGTCAGCCGCATTGACGTCAGCCTCGGCGTTGATGAGGTCCTCGGCCATTCCCTCCATGGCCAGGCGGATGGAGAGGATGAGCGGCGTCATCCCATTGTTCATCTTGGCGTTGAGGTTGGTGGCGCGATTGCGTAGCAAGATCTGCGAAGGAGGGAATGCAGTCGCGATTTAGCTGACTGATTTGTTATTTACGTGCATGTGTACGGAGATCACATTCTACCAGTAATGACTGTTCGAGCACCCCCTAGATACTGGGATTGTGCCCACCAAGGTTGTCCTAGAAACACCGAAAATACACTCTATGTGGGCTGGGCTTTAGAGGTTTCATGTTCAATGCCTACCTGGAACACTCCCACGGCGTCGGCAGCAATGGCGGCATGCAGGGGCGTTCTGCCCGAACTGTCCTGCGCATTGGCCTCTGCACCGGCGTCGAGGAGGCGCTTGGCGGCATCCGCACGAGCGTAGCGTGCGGCCAAGTGCAGGGGAGTCTCGCCAGTCTTTTCGGTGGTACTGGCAAGCTGCGCTCCCTGCATGAGCAGATCCTGGATCATGCTGGCAGAGCCGTCGTCATCCTCGCCCACATCTTCGCCAGTGTCCAGGCCATTCCCGCGAAAAGAGGCCAGCATTAGCGGGGTGAGGCCACCTGGGAGAGGATCGGACAAGGAGGGTGGTTAAATTCAAGTCGTTGGGAAGATACCTCGCATTGTCAACATAAGACATTGAGCGCAAATAACCGGGCAAACAAGAAGCAACTATTAACTACTTTTTTTAAGCAATATATATATATATATATAAAGACACAGCACTACAGACCACATAATCTGTAGTGCAAATGCTTCCTCGATAATTGCATCGATTCTCTTCAAAGAAGTCTCAATTGATCAACTGAGACTCATCATGTAAAGTTAATTCAGATCTGTAGGTATGCACAGTTCAGCACACTATACCAAGGAGCAACTTTCTGTGGGGATTCAGAGAAAGGTAACAATTATGTACTGGCATAGCTTTCACAGTGTTGCCCCAGACAGTTCTTTCCGAGAAGAATGCTATATATCCTCGCAGCCGGGTTATAAGCCATGCTAGGCAAATGGGGCGACTGTGCATTTCCACGAACAACACAGTGCCACGTATATTTTGTTCGACTTGGGTGAGGAGAGAAAGTAGGAAGTCCTTACCAGGGCCCCTGACGTCCACGTTGTGCTGGTCGAGATCATTGCCCTGGGGTGGGGTCAGGGCCAGCAGCAGCTCTGGGTGATGCACATCCGCAGCCTCCAGGTGCTGCTGGGTCCAGGGTCGGGGGTCCCTCTCCTCCTCGCAGTCGGACACCACCGTGTCTCCACAGCTCGAGTCGGGGGAACCGCGTGCACGTTTGGCCGGTGGACGCTCTCCTTCGTCGTCGCTCCAGGCTTCGGGAGGGCCCTCGCCATTGGCGTGAGCCGCTCTGCGGGAGGGGAGGATGTGGTAGCTTGGTTAGGCTGGGTGACCAGCGAGAGAATGACATACACAATGATACTAGTATACCAGTATCTGCTTGCATACTGCTACATGCTGAAAAAGTCGCAATGACTTTGTCATGGTGTGGTAGTGGGCTGGGGGAGGATATGGTAGCAAAGAGGGGACGGCAATTTAAGGCCATGGGGCTGTTATGAACGTGAAACGTTCTTTGGCTAGGTGTTCGGCACTTCGTGAAGCTTAGATAAAAGCATGGCCGCGAGACTCGACACTGATTTGTTTCGAGTGTGTGGGAGGGGGTAGCATTGCAGTAAAAAAGTGTTTGCACCGGGTGGGAATCGAACCCAGACCATTTAGATTGTTAAGCGAGTGCCTTTCCAGCATGTCACGACACATCGCCGTGAGTTGAAGTGCAATTTGTCAGGACAGGCCTGTGGGTATCCGCTCTGCATTCGGCAGACAGCAACTTGACACTTTGTCACATGTTTTTTAAAACCTGGGTTAGCGCCGGTATTTCCATTCTAGGGATTGCTATAGAGTGTATATGCCACGCGTTAAGCTAGTCGCTAAACTGTAGATGGTGAAGAACGCCAAGACAGTAGACGTCACACGTTTCACGTGCAACACAATTGGCCAGCAATTTGTTAAGTATTTTTATAATTAAGTTATTGTCTCAAATGGGAAAGTGAAGGTGCATAGATGAGGTCTAACACTGCTTGTCATAAAAAAAAATATATGCATATGTGGAAGACATATATTTGGACTGATTATAAATACTCTGTTTCTCACATTAAGCACAGCCCTTCAGTCTTCTGCAAGGCACCGGCACATAACTTCAGAATTTTCTCTATTTGCTCTTTGTGCTCACGTGACATGGAGCACTTTACAGAGCCTGTGCATTTTCCAGTACTACTATCCAGTACTTTTCCAGTATTTGTAAATACTGGATAGTACTCACAACTACTAAACAGTACACCCATGCACTGGAGAGTACTTGCAAGTAGCATACAGTACCAAGCGCACCCACCTCATCTCCTGTCCATCGGGGCCCCTGCGCCTCGAGTGCCTTCTTTGACCGCTGCCGGTACGGAGAAAGCCCTCGGGGAACCAGGTGATGCCCCGGGCCCGCTTCTTCTGCGTGGTGAACAGCACGCCCACCAGCAGGCCCGCCAGCAGCACGCCGATGAGGCCGATGACCACGTGCAGGGCACTGGCCCGGCCCCCGTCGCCCGCCCCGTCGCCCCCCTGCTCCCGGCCGGCCCCCTGCACCTCCTGGATGTGGAACGGGGTCTCGAGGGAGTGCCGGGCCTGGGCTGCCGCCAGAAACTCTGCCGCCTTGGCCGCAGACTGGAAGCACTCGCTGCCCTGAGACTTGAGGCAGCGCCGGTTGTCAATCTCCAGGTGCACCAGCGTCCTGGCAGGGAGGAAGGCGGGCTGTTAGATCGCGCTCGCATGGTTCGCGTTCGTTCATTTATTTGTCGACACCTGCTTCGGCCTGTCCTGGACTATCTATGGAAGTTCCTTTCGTCGTCAGAATTTTACACAAACTGTAGAGTATGCTGGTGGTGGTCAGGGCACCTCAAAAGAATAAACGAGACAAAAAAAAGGATGTGTTCATTTCTTCTACATACCCTAGAAACATTTGTTTGCTTGATGCATTCACAAAAGTAGTGCCTACTAACTTTTGAGGATAACAGTAGCATGGTATCCAAAACTTTCGTCAGGTTCAACATCTCGTCTTCGAAGTTCTAGTGAGTAGATATGCTCACCCTGTGCGCGGTACGGGCAGTGCCGCGTGGTTGGGTTTCTGTCCATCGGTGGCCCGCCAAGGGTAGATCATGGGGCTACCTGTGGGGTCCCGCTTGAAGAGCACATTGGTGCGCAGAGCGTGGCCAATGTCACGCAAGAAGGGCACCGTGTTGTTCCGGAACACCTGTGTGACAATGACGTCAATGTGAAGGGATCATATCGCGGTGCTTCAAGGAAACACAAATCCATGCACAAAGTCACGAGCAAAAAAAAAAAAAAAAAGAGGAAATTAAGAGTAATTTTTGTATGTTTGGGACGATAACAGCCAATCCTAAATGCTGTCCCTTTTATGTTTACTTATTGTCTAATTTGAAGTAGCTCAAGCGTTTGAGACGATAACTGCCCATCATAATTGCTGTCCCCTTTAATTTACTTATTTTTGTTACAACGTTTAATGGCTGTTCTTATGGGTACATGCATCTTTGTGTTCATAATTCGCAAGATGCCAGCAACCCGCCGTAAACTACCGCGGAAGCGCCCACTTCATTTAAGCGCCCACTAATAGCGTTTACCAATTTTCTTAATTTTGCAAATTACACATTAAGTGCCCAATTTGACAGGACAGACGTCCATGTCTAAATTAAACCAGCTTTCAGTGAAAGTGAGGTGGTTGCTTCCCCTGGATTTTGCGGCATTTATGTCTTGTCCGTACAAATATGCCTTGATGTTATTATAGGATAGGGAGGCTGAACTCTACTGATTAGTGTCACATGCTTTTTGACTCTGAAAGCACTGGATCCAGGATAGTTCCTCCATGCAGTGGTTAGACAGTGGACTATACCGAGCTTTATATGCAGCACTACAATATTTGTGCTGATGGTGACATACCTCTGGCTCGATGGAGATCATGATGACAATGGAACCCTCCGCCAGGTAAGGGGGATCCATTTCACAGTCGAGCCCGTCCCAGTTGCACTCCTCGTTGTTGCAGCCGTAGTCGCAGTAGCCATTACCATAGTTGCTCATGCAGTAGGTGTCATAGTGCTCACTGCAAAGGTAAACATTTTTCCAGATATTAGTTTAGTTTGTATAAAACTGGCAGTTTTGTTTTCTGATAATCACTGGACAAGATAAAACTTACAGAGGAGATTGATAACATTAAGACATTATTCTTCAAGACTAAGTGAGGTTTCAGTACACTACTCACTTGCAAGGTTGGAGGTCTTTCTGGCAATCAAAGCCATCAAAGAGGCAGTCGATATTGTTGCACTCGACATTGCACTTTCCGTCTCTGAACACGTCCCAGCACTTGATGGCAGCAGTGCAGTTCATCCAAGGATTAATTCCTGTAAAAATTGGAAAGATGAGGTCAATACATAATCAAGGAGTATTTCAGATTGCCCTCATTTGTTCGTAAGATGTGAAAGATTTATAAGCTTTGGTTTAAATTACTGCTTTCTTTTTTTTTTTCTAGTATTGAGTTGAGAATCAGGAAACAAGTTGACTGATGCTTTCTACGGAGCATGTAATTTTTCATTGCTGCTTGCATACTGCAATTGCTTTTAGCTGAAGAAGGAGATGTTGCTTTTATAGTTGAACCTGATTAAAACAATGATATTCTAACTCATCTTTGTGTGTCTTAGGGCCACTGCACCGACCTAGGCTCATTTCCTCAAATGATTTATCCCTAAGGGGATTGACAAACTCACCGAGAGAGCAGTCACCACCATCAAAATTGCAGGCGTACGTGTTGCACTCTTCATCACAATAGCGGTTCCCCGCCTTCTTCTCACACCTCCGAGCGGCACACAGCTTTTTCTCTTCTTCCAGAGACTTGAGGAAGAGGTCATAAACACCCTCCACTGAAGGCGCCAAGGCACCGCGGAAGCTGGAGTCGTATTCTTCGCACCGCAGCCCCTTCCATCCAACTAGGCACTCGCACTCGAACCTCCCGCTTGCACCCTTGCGGCACGCTCCCCCGTTGCGGCACCCCAGCGGGCAGGCACCACCGGCACCAAGCTCCTCCAGCCGCTCGCAGAAGCTTCCGGAAGTTCCGCGGGGACAGACGCAGGACTGGCCGCGGCACTGTCCCCCGTTGCGGCACGGGCTGGCGTCTCCGCAACTGCGGTTGGCGCAGGTTTCGCCCCAGAAGCCCTCCTGGCAGACGCAGGTCGGACCCCGTGGCCCCGGGTGGCAGACGCCGCCGTTGAGGCACGGGTCCGTGGAGCAAGGGTCGACCTTGAGCTCGCACCGGCGCCCCGCGTGCCCCGGGCGGCAGTCGCAGCGGTAGTCGTTGACGAGCTGCACGCAGTCTAGGGTCCCCATCGGGTCGCAGGGGCTCGAGAGGCACTCGTTGACGTCACCCTCGCAGCGGGAACCCACGTACCCGGGCGGGCACTGGCACTCGTACCTGCCGACGCGGTCGAGGCAGGTGCCTCCGTGGTGGCAGGCGCTCTCAAAGCACTCGTTGACGTCGATCTCGCAGAGGGTGCCGAGGGTGCCGTGGGGGCAGGAGCAGACAAACTTGTTGACGAGATCGTGGCAGGTGCCGCCATTGCGGCAGGGGCTAGGGTCGCAGTCGTTGACGTCGTACTCGCAGTTCAGCCCCTGGAAGCCCTCGGGGCAGTCACAGGCATACTGGCCCAGGAGGTCGTGGCAGGTGGCTCCGTTCTGGCACGGGTTGCTCAGGCACTCGTTGACTTCGCGCTGGCAGTAGCTGCCCTCGTAGCCTTCGGGGCAGAGACAGTGGTGGCTGTTGCCGAAGTCTTCGCACACTCCGCCGTGCTTGCAGAGGTCGGCCACTTTGGTGCCTGCAAAGGTCACTCTGGTGTTAGCAGTGGCTACTGAGGAGAAGCTTTTTACGAGCCTCCTCATGGTGGGATTCATGATGATTGTTTAGCTTTACATGATATTCGAGTGTAAGTGTTGAGATATACTATAGTTTCCACTTCTTTTGTTGTATGCATCTCTAGCATCTTTGTATACCTCCTAATAATTGCTTCAGTTTTTTGCTATTTTTTTAATTGACATGTTGCAATCTGTCACTTTAGTTTGGTAGGCTTTCCTACTCTGTACAAGAATCTGCAACACAGTATGACTAAAGTGCATAATGGTTCAAACGACAACTAGTTTTTACATAATATAACCGTGGCACAGCAGAGGCGTTCGGTGGCACACCAGGTAACACTGCTCACTGTCTCCTTCCCCTTACACTCTGTAGTATATTAGTAATGGAATGTAAGAGGAAATACCACTGACCTTTCTGCAGGGCAGCATCTTCGCAAGACACCATGGACACGTCGCAGAGCAGGCCTGTCCACCCTGGTTGGCAGGTGCAGCGATACGTGTTGTTGGACTGCTTACAGCTGGCTCCATTGAGGCAGGGGTTGGTGGCACACCAGTCCACAAAGGTCTGGAGGAAACAATGAATATTGGAGAAATTTGAAATGTGCTTGGGGCATTCAAAGACCCAATTAACTTTAATTTCAGAAAGATTACTAAACTTTCTTTTTTTTGCTTTCTTTTATGTTTAAAGGGACCATGAAACGATTCTGAAACTGAATGTTATGCACTGCACGTCGTAAAAAGTGTGAAAAGAAAACCAAAACACAAAAATAAAGAGTACAAAAAAATTGCACTATAGAACTTTTAAAAGAAAAGCAGACTCTTATCTTGTTTCCTTCGAAAGCTCTCTGCCTTCTCACTGCGATGCATCCGCGGTGCCAAAGCACATCAGCCAAATCCAAGTCGACTATTGGATAAGAGCCTACCTCACCAGCACCGCGATCATAAACAATAAATAGCCGGCGAATGTTTCTTAAAAGTTTGTTAAAGAATATTTTGATCCACACTTTGTAGCACAATTAGCGGTGTGACGGAAATTGACAAATTTTATAATGCTCGGAGCTATGCACTATCTATTACGTTTGGTGAACGAAGCAAGAGAAAGATCAGACTGCGCTTGCACTGTTTCGCAGTTCCTGCTATCTGCTGAAAAACATAGCGTCAGTGGTGATCATTGATATGGTCAGCGTGGTGGAAGCTCATCGGTCCACGTAGAGCGCTATCCTTGACTGAATTCTTGTCCTGTGTCGCACATCCTAGAAGGGAAGATCCATCTACTCGTGCGGCGATGTTGTGACAGCACCCTCAAGAGAGCAGAATCGCTCGTGCCGTCGTGTTTGTTTACTTCGACTTCAGTGGTGCTTTTTTAGCATTATGTCCTCGAACATCGCCCAGAGTTCTTATTTGGCACATTTCATGTGTGTGCTCTAGTTCAAGGCATTGCTGGTGCGTACTGTATTTAAAGGCGTGTATGAAGGATGCGAATTTTGACGCGTTTTCATCACTCGAGAGAAGTGATTAGTGTTAGCATTCCTGAACGCTCGCAATGTATATGTCATCACGAAATCATATTTCTATGTTGCTATATCTCTGCCAAGATTACACCGTCTTTTGCAATCGTAGTAAAGGCGTGTGGCGAGATTTGTACTATCGGTAAAGTCATATGTTATAGTCGTGATCGTCCAGGATGGCGTGCTGCATCTTTTTCTTTTCTTTTTTCATCCCTCTGCCTTGCGAGTCTATCCTAACAAAATAAAAATTAATAAAGCTTGAGCCCACCAAAAACTTTGTGCATTTTCTGCTATGCCAGTGAGTGGCAGCGCGTCCCCCTCTTTTTAGAGATACCGCGGAAACAGCTGACAGCAGTAGAGAAGCGGCCGTCGTGTTGACAACCTGCTGTGCTTGTTGCAGTGGTTGCAGGAGTGTCTACGCACAGCGCAGAGCAGTTGCTCCGGTCGCTCCGGTCACAACAGACGCAGTCGTAGCTAACACGTTCATTACAAGTGCCCAAATTACAGTTTGTGCAGTCCGGAGCTTAAAAAGACATGGCTGCAGTTTCACCGCTTGCCACTCAAGGAACCGCTTCGAAGCACTTGACGGAGGCTCATCGGTTTGAGGGACCCCAGGTCTAAGGTCATCCGTGCAAGCTCTGAACATTCCCACACATTAGAGTCGCCACTCCCTGTCGTCCGATTCCGACGAGGAACTGGAGTCTTCGTCGGAAGAGTCGCCGCATTTTCCAACAGGTGTGCCGGCGTATGGGACCACTCCCATGCTGTCGCTATAGCGCGAAATATCTAATTGAATTTCGCTCAGTTGCGATGTGTCCATGGCTATCATTGTGATGAGAGGCCCTGATTCAGAAGATATGTAGGTGGCATCAGCGCCATCAGCGCAGTAAAACCCTTTGGTGAAACCTGCCGGCACACTGCCAGCTCGCTGCTAACGCTCCCATTTCTCCACTGCCGAGAGAACTTCCGGCTCTGGTGCCAGAGCACGACACGACCGTCAAAATTATGCCACAGCTTGTTTTGCGGTGAGTTAGAGAGAAAGAAAAAATCTATATTTCATTATTTCTCGTGTAGGAGTTAATAAACCGAAACAAAAACGGATGCCTGCTCGGCATTCAGTGAACATTGAAGGTGTAACCTAAAAGTTATTTAGCAAATGTAAAAGAAGTCATTTCATGATCCCTTTAAGAGCCTTTCCTGTTCTTTGTGAAAACAAAGGGCTCAGTTTCAGAAGCTTTGCCTGTCACGTTTTTGCTGTGTAGTCGTCTCTCATTAAGCACAGCTCATTGTAAAGTACAAGAAAACGGTGGCCAAAAAGAGGTGCTCACCTCGCAGCGTGGTCCCATGTACCCGAAGGGGCAGTGGCAGGTGTGGTAGCCAATATGGTGGACACAGGTGGCCCCATGGGCACAGGGCTGGGAGTCGCACTCGTTGATGTGGTACTGGCAGTTCGAGCCCGTGTAGCCTGGACTGCACTGGCATGTGTAGTTGTTCACTCCGTCCACGCATGTGCCGCCGTTCATGCAGGAACTGCAAAGGAAGAGAGCAGGTTGTAATGGAAGGGCTCGTCTGCTTCTGTGGGATCTTGGCTTTCGGCTCCAGTTCTACGACGAACCTTAGGCAGACACCTTTTGAGTACATTTCTATGCATCTGGAAAGAGACCAGAATGCAAGAGCCAAGTTCTAAAACTTAGGTACATATGTAGACTAGACACACAGGTTGGTATTTGCAATGGTATCTTCATAGCTGCTTGAGGACCTGAGTATATTTGTTTGCATTCTGATGCTTGTCATGCTCCTACTTCAGATACACACTGGCTCGACTTTTTGGCTACAGCATGTTTCACAAAATTTCATAAGCGCATTTTAACCATCTGCAATGCCATCGAGAAAACAGTGGGGAGTCATACCTTGGGGTGCAGTCCTCATCGTTGGTCTGGCAGTTGGTTCCGCTGAAGCCCGGGAGGCAGGCACAGGCGTAGCTGTTCACATAGTCATTGCAGGTGGCTCCATTCTGGCAGGGGTTGCTGGCACATTCGTTCATGTCGTCGGCGCAGTGCTCTCCGCCAAAGCCATCAACGCACAGACAGGTGTACTCTCCAATGCCATCCAGACACGTTCCTCCATTCTGGCAGGGGTCTGAGGATTAAATGAAGAAGAGTCAGACACCTACTCTTGACTGTGGGCAGCTGCCTTGTTATTCTGGCTCTGAGGAATGTCTAGTCAAAACTACCCCATACTTACGGAGAGTTTTAGCTGAATTACATCCAGGCTTTTCGGTGTCCGACCTTCCTCGTGTATGCCATTGTAAAATATGGTAGACTTTCACACGAATTAGTTTCAGGAGCCTCGTAACCTCAAATACCTCGTAACAAAAGGTATCCACATGACAACATGCTGAATCTGGTGGACAACATTGTTTTCATGAAACTTCAGCTAAGGGTTATGTTTTATGAGGGTAATTTTTACCTATAATTTTACGATTGTGGTGAAAACTCACTATCCCAACGCAGTTCATCTATGAAAAGTCTCCATCGCCGGTATTTACCTAGTAATTTGTACCAGTCACTTCAAAAATGTAAAACTGGAAGACCACTCACACGAAGCGCAGTCGTCGGTGTTGGTGAGGCAGTCCCGACCCTCGTAGCCGCGGGTGCAGAGGCACTCGTACGATCCGTTGACGTTGACGCACGTGGCCTCATTGCGGCACGGCGACGACACCGCACACTCGTCGATGTCCTCGTCGCACAACCTCCCCGTGAAGCCCAACTTGCAGGAGCAAGCAAAGTCGAGGTAATTCGAGGACGGCGAACACTGGGCACCGTTGCGACACTTGTTGGGAGAGCAGGGGTCCAACTCGACGTCGCACGTGGGACCGGAAAAGGGCACCTCACACACGCAGCGGAACGTCCCAACCAGGTCAATGCAACTTCCACCATTGAGGCACGGATTAGGACTGCAGTCGTCAAGGTTCGTCTCGCAATTCCGCCCGGAGTAGCCGTCTATGCAGGTGCACGAGTAAGCATTGAGGGTGTCGTGGCAGCTTCCACCATGCTGGCACGGATTGGATTGGCACTCGTCTATGTCTTGCTCGCAGCGGTGGCCCCCGTAACCGGGAGGGCAGTGGCAGACGAAGCGATTGACCTCGTCTTCGCAGGTGCCTCCGTTCTGGCATGGGTTGCTGGCACACTCGTTGACGTCGGAGAGGCAGCGGGCGTCGAAATAGCCGCGGGGGCAGTCGCACTTAAACCCGTTGACCAGGTCGGTGCAGACGCCACCATTAGAACAGGGGTTGCTGGCGCACTCGTTGATGTTGGTCTCGCAGTGGATGCCTGCAAGGAAGTTGAAGAGCATGTCTCCTACTCCAATCTACCGAGTCCCTAAGGCATCACTGCATGTGTCTTGCTGTTCTAGTCTGATTGTTGCATTTCGATAAGTCACTTGTCAGTGTTGCATCGACTTTGTGGACAAAGAACTATACTGGCACAAATCTAGGACCATTCATTTACCATTATTGTTGAGTCGTCACAATCAACCTCAGCCATCCCCGCTCGGCGTAGCGTACTACAGTAACGATAACTGACCGATTAATTTGCTTGTAAATAATAACGAACATGCATGCCGTATTAAAATGTCTTGATGGACTTCGTCTTTCTTTACCTTTGCATTATGACATCAGTTGCTGGTGTTGTCACTTGTCCTGTCTGCTTCTACTCAGCCTGAATACATACTTCGCACCGTTTGTTTTCTGTGGTATTGTAAACCTTCTAAATCTTTGCGGCTCCAATTTTTTGTGGATCGGGCCCTGGGGATATCTTCGTGTGGCAACTAAATTTTGTGAATTCTAGGGGCCAGATTGTGAAGCTCTCTTAAACACCGAGACTTCCACAGCCCTTAGATGCTGCAAGTTGTTTTAGTTCACAAATATTAGGGGCTCACATACATTAAGGGTTTTAAAGCGAACATGCAAGAGTAAGCAACGCCTACCAGTGAATCCGGCAAGGCAGTCGCAAGTGTAGGAGTCTATCCCGTCGATGCACTTTGCCCCGTGCCGGCAGGGGTTGGAGAAGCACTCGTTGACGTTGTACTCGCAGTCGACCCCGGAGGTGCCCGGACGGCAGCGACACTGGTAGCCGTTGACGAGGTCTTCGCATGTCCCGCCGTGGCGGCAGGGACTGCTCAGGCACTCGTTGATCTGGGTCTGGCAGAGCAGCCCCGTGTAGCCCGCGTGGCAGTTGCAGCTGAAGGAGTTGATGCCGTCGTGGCAGACGCCATGGTGGCACGGCGAAGACTGGCAGTCGTTGATGTTCGTCTCACACGTGGCACCCGTGAAGCCTGCGCGTTTCACGAGGAGAAGACGGAGGTGGTTCAGGATAATTGGTACGCGCACAACGGCTTTTCCCCTTTAAAAACTTGGAAGGCACTCAACTCTTGGTGTAATCTGTCTCAACACATAAAGTCGGCAGGAGAAGCTCCGCCTTCAGCACGCGCTCGTAGCCTTTTATAGTGCTTTGGCTGCGTGTGTACCGAAGTGTCATGGAAGGTGCAAAGCTTGCACTGTAGATTCTAGTGCAGGCCCTATGTTGCAACAGGCTATAATGTGGAAGTTATAGCTTGATATATTGTCTAGGTTAACACGAAAGACTTGCCTAGGGTTCTGAATCCTTTACTATACCGGAAGTTGCAAAGGACAATCTCGTCAAATTGAACACCAGAAGACCTAAAAAAAATAGTTGTTCACTGCAAATGTCACTGCCCAAAGTTTACCAGGTCTGAAACTTGCACTTCAATATGAATTAGCTCGAATTTGACTTTCTTTTCTATTGGGATTCTCGTAATGTTTTCGTCTTACACAAGACCCTTTTCTTTTCTTTTTTTTACAATAAGAGTTGTTATACTGTAAAACCCTTTTATTTTCGCAGCCCCAATTTCTCGCGAATCAGTCAAAGAGGACTAATCGCGGCCACTAAATTTCGCAAATTGCTGACGCCTGCATTGAAACTCTTAAAGACTAAAATGTTTGCGTGCCCTGAAATTTCGCGAATTTTTCATTTCGCGAAATTTGCGAGAGTTAAGGGCTCACAAGCATTAAGGGTTTTACAGTATTTTGTCCTCGAAAAGTAACTGGTGATGTTAGTTTGCTGGAATACCATTTGAGCCTTTAGAAAACTTGGTGCTCACCCATGCGCAACGCAACAAATGAAAAATTTGTCCCTGCTTTCTAGTTATGTGCGAATAGAAGATTTTGAGTTCAAAGTGAGTTTAAAGCAACTAGTTGTTTTGGCCAAATATCTTCGAATCCAATATCGAATAGTGTCTCCCAGCCTTTCACTACTGTTGCACCATGCTTAGAAAAAACCCAGCTGAACTCGAGAAGGCTGTTCCCAAGCTTCCAATGATCCATTTATAAGCTAATTTGATCTAACTATATTTATGGACTGTGACCTCAGAGTTCGATGCCTTGAAATGGCAAGTAAACAACGGATTCAACATAAAATAAGCTTTTAGAGGTGCCCAGCTATACCTGAATGACAGTGATTTAGCTAAACACCCCCCCCCCCCCCCCAAACCCCTTCTTTAATTTCGAATTAAAAAAAAAAAAAAGAATCATGAATGATGAACGCAGGTTGTCATGGCATCTCTGCCTACCACAAACCCTTGCCTAATCATTTTGAACATTTTACTGTAATGTAGATATCATCATTCACATTTACGCTTATTTTTACAAACACCACGCGCGCGCATGCACCATCCCGGTTTTGAAAGTGTGCCTTCATCCCAAGCATGCAATCGCAATATTCATACTTTTCTAAGTGTTGATTGCGGCGTGTTACCCCGTTGAGTGCGCTTCTTACCGAGCACCGGGGCCCTGCGGAGAAACAACACCCGCGGAGCTCGCTTCCGCTGGTGTTGCTCCTCCGCAGTGCATCCGTGCTCGGTAAGAAGCGCACTCAACGGGGCTAGCCCGTTGAGCGCGGATCAAAAGTTTGAGAAATACGAATATGGCAGTTTATTTCGAAGCGAATTTTGAATATTGTATTATTCAAAATTATTATTATTAGAAATTTTGAATATTGTCACAACATAACTTTGATATGTATGGCGCAGTATTTTTTATGTGCAACTGCAGCAGCAAATGGTGACAGAAACTGACAGGGTAGTGAAACCAAAGGCCAACATTTCCCCTATGCTTACCAGGTGGACAGTGGCAAGTATAGCTGGCAATGCCATCATGGCAGGAGCCTCCATTGCGGCACGGGAAGGAAGAGCAATCGTCTTCGTTGGCTTCACACTTCTTGCCCGAGAAACCCACAGGACACAGGCACTTGAAGCCATTGATGAGATCGTTGCAGATACCTCCGTTGAGGCATGGGTTGGGGAGGCACTCGTCGATATCCACTTCGCAGTGAATGCCCTTGTAGCCTGCAGTCATAAAAAAGGGGGTTGGTCAGTGATGTGGACTGCTTGAGCTCTTTCGTCTGGGAAATCTGGGGAAAATTGTTAGAAGAGTAACAAGTGCATCAACCCTTTGTGACACTTTTTGGAGCTTTTAGAAATTTGCTAAGTTTTATAATTGTTGATTTTTAGCACCTGTGCAGAAGGGTTCTTGCTTTCAGACGTCTTTATTTAAAGACAAGAACTGAGTGGTAGAACAAAACAAAATTCATAAAACGGCACAGTTCTTGTAACAGTGGGTTTCAGTTTTATGGTTGAAAAAGGGAATACTGTTGTTGCTTCTGTATATTTATCTTCAATGCAAAAAAAAAAAAAAAACTTTCTTATTTTTACATGTTTAACATTATATTTTTTTTAAGCACTGACACCAACTAACAGTAAAATTTCAATTTAGTTTAATTCTTACGGTTGATCATTTTAAGAGGAGCTTTAAGATTTAAGAGCAATTATTTTCCCTTATAGTGCAACCATTCATATGTTTGTGAGACTCCGATTTATCTCAGCCAAAAAGTCGATTTCATTTGACCAGAGGGCATCGATACATTTCACTACATCCATATGTAAATTCGTAACAGGGGGGGAGTGGTCTACGGACGACGGCACAACCGACCCTCTACTAAGAGGCCTCACTCTTCAAATGCTTGAATGAAATATACCTTCCCCTTGGGAAACAGGAAATGAGCTCGTTTTGTTTTATCATTACTGTTTCGCGCTCTCCTAAGGTCAGGCCTTCTCCTCTCGTTTTCGCCCTACCCAAGACTGCTGTGTCTCACGGGTCGCTGTAGTAGCGAGTACCCGCGCGCGCCGGTGTTCGTATCAAGACACCGCATCGCCATTCTCACGGGCATTCAACAACCCAAAGCTTCCAGGCGTTTTCCACTCATTCTCTCGCTCTAGAGACAGTACGTGCAAAACAAAGAAAACCAAAGCCTCTGCGCACAGATTCCCTTCTGTGACTCCTTTGCTCAGAAGCTTCACACCCTTTTTTCCTAATCCCCCTCCACACTACGTCACTCGCGTTTGTACTTTGGTTACGCTCAAATTATCTCCTATTTCCTCTCCCCCTTTTTTATCCACCCCAGAACGTTCCCCCTTCCAAGTTTTCTCAAACCCCCTCTAGACTGTAATCCACCGCAATCAGAAAAAATGGTCGAAGTTTGGAAAGGAGGACAGTGGCTACCTGGGGGAGAGGTAGCGTTACCTTACATTCCTCTCTCCCTTATCGCAACAGGAGGAGGAGGAGAAAGAGAGAGAGAAAGGAGGAGAGAAACGTTTATTTGGCTATTTCGAGGGGTCGTGGGAGTGGTTACCCTCCTCCTTCTCCCCCTGTGTCGCCTCTCTGGGAACGCCGCAGCCCAGTTGCTGCTGCTTCGAGAAAGCTCCCGAGGCTCCCCCCCGAGCATCCATCTTCGGCCGCTTCTCTCCCCCATTTCTTTGCCTCCTCCTCGCCCGCCCACGTGACGCGAACGCCGTGAAAACGCTCGCCCTCTTCTTTTTCACACAGCCCGCGAAACCAGCGAAACACAACCGGTGGCGGCGCTGGTAGGAAGTGGAAGACCGCCTCAGGTAGCACGGGACGGGACCAACTGAAACCAGTTTCGTTTCTCTCTTTCTTTCTTAGCCTCTCTCTCTTTCTGTGTTCCCTTCCCCTTATTTTATTATGTCCGTTCGTTTTTTTTTTTTCTTGTTTGTCTGGCTTTTGTGGCTATCGGGGAGTTCAGGAAAGATCAAAAAGAAGCCCGGCTTGCTGCCGTCGTCCCGTCAGAAGTTGTTCGCTGGTTGGCCGCCGGCTTTCGCTACCTTTTGCATACCTCTTTTGCCACGAAAAAGTTATTCCTTCTCCGCGTGAAATCCTCGTTTTGGGTGTTCTCTTTTTTTTATGTAGATTTTATTTTTGCATTTACGTGTCCTTGCCCCACGATCAATTTAGTACCCGAGTTGGCGATGTTAGTATTCTCGACACGGTCCCTGGTTTGTTTCGGATATTCGGTTCAGTGTTCGTTGCCGCACAGCTGACGTTGCGTTCCTTTTTTGTGTGTAAGCTTTGTGATACAATAATAATAATTGGGTTGTGTGTATGTTTTTATACAGCCTAGAACTTGGTCTGCCTCACAGGGGCGACGAGTCTCCCAGCTGTAGATGAGAAATTTAGCCAGTGCGGTACAAACCGCTAGCCTGGGGTCTTTAACGTGCGTCACGCAGTAGTGATACACGACCGCACGCCGGTACGATGCTCATCCAGATCGAAACGGGCAGGGGTGGGGCTCGAACCCACGATCCCTGGGTTCTGCAGCGCGAGCTTTCGCTCCACGTGCTCCGAGCTGGTGTGCGCTAGACCACTCGGCCACCGATCCCCCCTTGTGATACAAGCAATGCGCGATGCCCTGTCTCGCGTGCTCGTTGAAACCCTACTTGTAGAAGATGAAGAATACCACAACCAAAGATATAAAAACACTGATAAAACCAGGATGCTGATTAACGAATTTTAGTTATACCTGCTGTTTTAACTGAATTGTTAATTTTAGTTATACGTTCAAATGCAACGTAGTCAAAGCGGCTATGCGTGGCCCCGAGTCAAAGCTCTCATGCAGTCTTTACCTTCTCCGCATTATCTCACAAACCTGTCCCAGAGTGCGCGTGATGAGATAAAACGCACACAGATGTGGAGGCACGTCGTCCAATTTTCCTTTTCAGACTTTGTCGGCGGGGCAATTACAGGTAACAAAGTTTGACAAGTCACGAGTCGACAAGAGGTCCCTCAACCCTTTTTCGCTGTCGTTTCACAGTAAAAAAAAAAAAAAAAAAAAAAAAGTTTGTTTTTTTGGGGTTTTTTTTGTCACGAGTCTGACCTCCCAGCCTTGTTTACGACATTATTAACGTCGTGGAACGAAGGAAGAAACGAGGCAGAAATCGCCGCGTCAAGAGCAAGGCCGCTTAGCAGACGACAGCTGGTCGCGCGCGCGCGTCGGTGTCGTCTGCTCGATCCTGGAAGGAGGAACGCCCGCGAACTCGACCAACGGCGGATGCATACAGCACTGCCGTCAACCGAATGTTTATGAAGCCCAAAAGACATCTGCCCTACGCCATCGCCGATTCTCGAAGGGGCTCCTTTGGCAAAATAAAAGCAATCGCAACCTACAAACACGGCAGGACTTCCGGCCGAGGCGGCAGCAGAACCCCTCGGAAGAAAAGAAGATGGCGGTGAGAGGGAGGGAGGGAGAGCTGGCATCATGGCGGCTCTCTTTCGCCCTTCCTCAATTTTTCCCATGCCGCGGTGGAACCAAGGGCGGATGTTTCCCCCTCTGCGGCCAGGTGCAAGTTTCTTTGGCGGCCCGCTCGCTTCACCGTGAAAGAGAGAGAAGCCAGCCACCGACTCGGAAGCAGCACTCCGCCACGCTGCAGTAATTCGACCTTCTGGCGGTTACCGACAGGCGATGACTGGCCGAACCGGTCGACATTTGGGTTAGGCGATAATGGCGCCTTTTTTCTGCCATACTACGGCAAATCGAGCGGCCGTGATCGAGTGATCGGGTGATATTTGCGTCAGAGTCATTGGCCCGAAAGCGTGAGCATGCGAAGACGGTGGTGTGATGTGCAACTTTGCCATTCAACAGATTGACGAAATAAACTTTTTTTTTATGTGTGTGCATTACGGTTTGATGCAAAAAAGAAATATATATATATATATATATATATATATATATATATATATATATATATATTTCAACAAGGAATTGGATTTTTAGCGAATAAGAAACGAACTCAAAGTGCTCTAAATGTTCGGCTTATTTCGACTCTGTGGGGAACTTACTGAATTGCACTACCTAGTGGCTGAATATAACGCCCCGAGAATCTGCCGCCTTTTTTCTGGTACAAATCATCATTTGCGGTGTCATAACTACTATTCTAGCGTGGAGCGATAAACAATGTATGAATACTTTACTGACTTCATCCTTCCGTGATACTAATAAACAGCCGTGTATCTATTTCGTTGCCTATTTTTACGGTCTATTTGGATGTCGCTTCGGTTCGGGAGCCCTTCGGCATCATGACACGGCCTGTTCTTCGAATGATGCCTACTTTCATTCCCATTCGCATATTATTCGTCTATTGATACGCAACGCCAGCTTAGCAAATACGCAGACGTTCAGACACGGCTGAACCAACAGGTCTGATCCCAATTTAAATCCACTTTGCTACCGAGAAGAAAAAATAAAAGTGTTATCTTCATTCGAATACTCTATTCTAGACTGAGGAAAGAGAGTGGGATATCGACTGGGAGGTTGTAATGTCTATAATCGCTAGTCCGGGCATCGGCAGAGCCTGGCCTGCGGCACACGACCTCGGCGACACCGCCGAACGCAGACGGCGACGCGGACTACTTAGCGCGCATGCGTGGACGGGGGTGTCATGAGGAGAACCATGAGAACGGCGGCGATCTTTTTCTCTCACACGTGAGCCGGCGGAGGCATTCCCACACGGCGAGGGATTTCCTGGAGCGCATCTTCGCAGCCCCGGAGTCGCTTCCCGGGTTTTCTCACAGGCGATGAACTTGAGAGCGTCTCGGTCGAATCGTCTCAGCTGTTCCTCATTGTCTCACCCTTTCTTATTCTTTATTTATTTTTATTTTTTCCATCTGCCGTTTTTCGGGCAATCTTGAACGCCGCGTGGAGCGTAATTTTGTTTTTTAATGTTTTATTCTTATTTTTGTTTAGTTTAAGTGCAACTTTAAGTGCCCGTTTTATCTATGTGCGCGCGTTTTCGTGAGTGTGGTTGGTTTCTTTACAAAAAAAAAAACGAAAAAAAAAAGGAAAAACAAAAGAAAAATGCCACTGCGTTGTTCTTTTTGGCTATGCTTCAGATCCGAGTGACCTCCCTTCTGCACGCCGACATCTCTGTCTCTACTGGGGCTTCAATCTGGACACTTTGCGGAAAAAGTCGGCGAGGAATTCGACCGCCGTGAATGGACGGCGCCAAGGTCCAGCGCGGCGCCGGCGAATCGCTGCCGCTGGATACCTCGCCGACATTTTCGCCAACGTTTCAGATTAGAGCCCCTGGACTGTGGAACGCGTTCTCAGTGCGTTCAGTAGCTCTCTTCTGCTTAACATCGGACGTCGCGCATTCGTCCGCAGCCAAGTGACTCGGCATTTTAGCCCGGGTAATAAACGATAGAGCGCTCTGTGCTTTTTTTTTAAAAAAATATAGAGCTTTGAGTTGTCGAGCGCTTAGCCTCTTTCCCCAGATGTAGCACTGGGTTTCAGAGCTTCCCGTTATCTTATTCAAAAGTTAGATAGAAATGATTTTCGGAAATTTTCACTGAGTATGTGGGGCCCGCTCCCACTAGCGGAAGCCATTCATATCCATGCATTCGCAGGCTGCGTTGGCGGCCAGTTTCTCATTGAAAATTTCCGGAAATCACTTTGCAACTTTTGAATCGGAAAACTGTAAGTTTTGAAACTTCCGTTATCTGGTCAAAGGCTAGGGCTACTTTTGATCAAAGACTGAGCGTTCGGCGACCCTTAGTTTATTTTTGCGGTGAGAAACGCAACGTCTCTTATCTACTAAACAGCCTGTACTTCGCTATAAAACCAAAACTATAAATAAAAAACACGCGTGTTAATTTATAGCATTCCGCCTGTGTACATGCATCTCTCTTTCGTCTTTTTTAGCGCTGTTTTACCGTTTCGTTATGTACCATCTAGCCCAACTTAATGCCTCGCTACACGAAGAAACTTGTCCCCATCGATTTCACCGCTGCTTAATCCGGTCTTTTGGGGACACGGATGTTTGGGACCATATTTTTGTCGCGAATCCGCGTAAAAAATAAAGCGAAAATCTGCATTGCAGTGCGTGCAGTGTCGCTGCTCACCGGGCATGCAGACGCATCGGAAGCCTCCGCGCTCGTCCAGGCAGGTGCCCTCGTTGTGGCAGGGGTTGGAGTCGCACTCGTTGATGTTCACCTCGCAGCGCGGCCCGGCGAAGCCCCGGGTGCAGTTACAGCGGAACGAGCCCGGGGTGTTGACGCAGATGCCGCCGTGCTCGCAGGGCTCCCCCTGGGCGCACTCGTCCACGTCCTCGGTGCAGTCCACGCCCTGGAAGCCGTTGGGGCACGAGCACAGGTAGGTGCCGTCGATGGGGCTTGTGTCGCAGATGGCGCCCTCGTGGCACGGGTTGCTCGCGCACGCGTCGTCCAGGTGACACAGCAGCCCTGCAGGGGGGTCAGGTGTTACGTGGAACGTAGCGTGCGTGGTGGTGGTCACAAGTTGGTGGCAGAGGAAGAGTCTACATTATGGTCCTTTGGTGCGTGTATGCTATGCGTCTGGCTTGGGGCCTGCCCTCGTGCCACCGCGTTTTGCCTTGCCCGCCTCTTTTGTCGTAACAAAGTGAAGCGGTTCCGGCAGTTACAAGCCGATTTTAAAGGACTTGTCGTTTTAACGTTTAACATTCAACGTTTTAACGCTGTTGGAAGCGGCTGCAAAAAGTCACTTCATTCCAGCAAAAAAAGGCGTGTACGGCAAAAATCGGAAGCATACGAATCTGTGAGAACGTGTCTTTGGAACGGAGACATCATATCATTTTGCGACACAATGCTTCTTTCTTCTTCTTTTTTTTTTTTTTTTTCGTTTGAAATAGCTTTTTTTTTTAACTCAAGCTTATCTTTGATCGCTGCGACGGTGTCATTTTGGCTCACGTCATTTCTTTGTATTTTCCTCCGATTGAGGCAAGCTAAGGAGGTGCACTCGACTTGTTATTAACCAAGGTACTAAGTTTACTGTTTGCCTAAGACGCAAACGTGCAAGGGCGTTCCCGAAACACACATACCTGTCTTCCCAGGAGCGCACTGGCAGTAGAAGGACCCGACGCGGTCGTGGCACGTGGCTCCGTTGAAGCAGGCCGCCACAGCGCAGTCGTCGATGTTCTCGGAGCAGTCGGTGCCCGTCCATCCGTTGACGCAGATGCACGAGTATCCGCCCACGGTGTTGGTGCACGTGGCGCCGTTCTTGCACACCGTGGGTCGGAACGAGCACTCGTCCACGTCGCGGCTGCAGTACGGCCCGGTGTACGTGGGCGGACAGTGGCAGGTGTACGAGTTGACTCCGTCCAGGCAGGTGGCGCCATTCTGGCACAGGTTGCCCGGACAGTCGTCTACGTTCGCCTCGCAGTGGGTGCCCGTGAAACCTGCGTGCGGACGGGTGACGGATATGTCCTTTAAAGATCGACTCCGGAGGTACTGCCAGGATCACTCGCGCGCTCTAAGATGTTAAGATGTGGGTCAGTAGATACCCCTTGTGGACACCCTGAAGATCATTGTCCCAAGATTCATCTTTTGACTTTTTCGAAGCGCTGATTACAGGATAACATTAACTCTGTAATTAGGCCTTCTTTGTCTAACACTCTTGGCAGTCATATGTTGTAGTCCTACTGCACTGGTTAGTTCGCCTTCTACACCTTTGTACCGTTGTTGCAAAATATGGAGGACAGACCCATTTCTTGCTGTATGAGCATTCACAACGAAGATTTGCTTTGATTGGTCCCTGAACACCCGACTCTCGAGGAATCGACTAAGCGTCCTATCCTTTGACCCTTTGTCGTTTCGAAGAACCAGCGTCCTCCCAGCTTTTGAAGGGTACTGTTTCAATGTATTTTAGAGCTTCAGAACAAAAACGCTGTATGCCACTGCAATGGTTACGAACCTGACGGTATCTTTATTATCAGACGATCACCGTCTCATACACATCCGCCGGTCGATTGATGAGCGATTCTAATTCAAGGCAGATATTGCGGGTGCACTACATTTTTAATTGCGCGGGTTGTCCGGTTTGCCACGGATTCAGTTCATGGACAAAATCTGGTCGATCTTTATCGTCAAAGCAACAAAACGTGTGTTAGTGCACGGGTCTTACCAGGAGGACACGAACACTGGTAGTTGAGCGAGTCGATGGGTCTGCAGGTCCCACCGTTCAGGCAGGGGCTCGGCTCGCATGGGATGTAGCGGGACTCGCACAGCTGGCCCGTGAAGCCCGCTTCGCAGACACAGCTGCGCATAAATAAAGACGCCCAAATTAAATTGTGGTGCTCGCCCAATGCCGTCTTTTGTGGGCAGCCAAAGCCGCAATGATGGTATCGGAAGAAGTCGTGCGCCTTGGGTCTGCTCTTCATTCGCTAAACGCGTTTGTTGTGGCGCTTGTCACTTTCCTGCTTCTGTTTATTACCATCCCCACCATCTTTGCAGCTTCGTTCGCCCAGAAAGCCCGCTCTATTTTCCTCTTCATTTTCTTACCGCAACAGACCATCCCTCACATTGTAGGTCACGATAATTGGGTGGTATGTTCGTGAGTGCGGGACAAAAAGATGCAGCTCACGAAGGAGGATCCCCGGAAAATTCGAGACTCTCCGAGTTGCCGCTTCCAGGGGGGGAAAGAGCTAATCCTTCTTTCGGCGGCAATATAGCTGTCTTGTCTTTCTGCGCAACGGAATGAACCGCGTAACCTGCCAGCGATTCCTTCGCTACCACGACGAGTTCGTGCATAAGCTTCGAGCCCGATCGAGGTGTTCTTCTTACTTTCCTCGTTGAGAGGATTGGCACGTATTCTCGACTAGAACGGGATTTTCAAGTGTTTGTTTGCATATCCACAGCTGAATTTATATTTATTAATCTAGTAGTTGTACTCGGCCGTTTGGAGCCTAACATTATAATAAGGGGCGGCCTCTTCTGCCAGATAAAAGTGTGAGAAAACGTAACGATGATAAAGCGTAAGGACAGCAAGGACAATAGCAGCAAAGGAAAGAAAGGGGATGCAAGACTATAACTATAGAGAGGGCATCTCATCAAATACTTTACTGATGGTGAATACTAGACATCTGCACGAATCCGAATGCTGTGGAGGCGACAGCTTTTCAATCCGGGGCGGACGCGTCGATGGCATGGAGAATTTGGAGCCTTTGTATTTGGGAAAAGTATCGAGCACTTGGAATGTTTTATGCACTCTGATGCCAAATACGACAGGGATCACTGTCAATGCCGGGCACTGCCCGACCATATTTTAGAGGCCAAAAGTTTGTCGCGGAAGCTAGCGCCATTTCTCGATTTTACATCTCTGTGATTGTTCCGTCTCCCGAAAACAAGGAGAGTGTCCAGTATTCTCCTGGTAAAGCATGCGATCTCATCATTCAAGGGCTGGAACCCCGGGCAGCTTCAGTGAAGGCGGATCTTGTCCTCTTTTCATCTCTGCTACTAGTATGCACTAATACAAGAGTCTGGGTTTCAGTGACGGCCCACAGGGAGCTCTGGGTAGAATCCCATACCTGAAGGATCCCTGGGTGTTGATGCAAGTGCCTTGCTCGCAGGGCTTTGCCTTGCACTCATCCACATCGACGGCGCACGTGGGGCCGCTGTACCCCTGGGCACACACGCAGGCGTAGGAGTCCGCCCTGGACAGGCAGCTGCCGTAGTTGAGGCACGGCTGAGATGCGCAGTGGTCCTTCTTGTCGCAGTGCTTGCCTGCGAGCAAGGGAAGCCGCACCACGCCTGTTAGTTAGTGTCCAGTCTTGTGCGCGATCATCCAAGGATCGATTGGTCATGACCCTGTGTCCGCCCGAACAATACTTGATCTCTGTCGCTATAATGTTTCTTTCACAACATTAGTATGATTACCTGTATCCGGGCAGCGCCTCTAAGGTCCGATCACTGCGAGGTTCGGAGAATGGCTGACGAGTGGCGAGGCCCGAGGAAGCTTTTGCTCTAAATGCATACGCTCATGGGACACTGAACATGGCCAACGCCATTCCGGATCATCCAACCAGATTTTAAGTTAAACGATATCTACACATCTTGTTATTTTCCAGGGTACTTTCCGTAAATCGCGGTGGTTGGCTCTCTGTCTGCCCTGCAGAAAAGTAGGCCTTTTCTGTTGATTTTGCGCACTCTCAGAGGCTCATGCATGCCTGCTGCCTGGTGATGCCCTCTGAACACCAATAACTGGTCTTCCTTTATTCAGTTCAACAACCAATGGTAGGTATCATACCTCAATGGTCATTTGACGTCAGTGGCCAAAATGGTGGACGCCTTTTTCGCCACTGAGACTGCATGACCTTCGGAGCATGATACATGGTCGCCCTTCTCACTAGCCACATTTAATGAATAACGACCAATAAATTGCATTTCCTTGCAATCACGGGAAAGTAAACATACAGGATGCTTCTGAAGGCGTATGCCTGCTGTTAGCTGCTGTTTTTGACAACCGTTTTACCGTTGTTTGCAAAGGAATGCCACCGCTACAACGTGCAGTGTTTTTTTCCCGTGCCAAACGCGCTTGCCGCCGATCCATCACCTCCCCCACAGACAATAAGCACGCGTGACCACGGCGACCCGAGAAAAGAGTGACGTACCCCTGAAGCCCGTGGCGCAAGCGCACGTGTAGTTGTCGAGGGTGACGAGGGAACAGGTGCCGCCGTTGCGGCAGGGCCGGTCGTCGCAGGCGCTGGGCACGGCGATCTCGCACATGCTGGCCGAGTAGCCCACGGGACAGGTGCACGAGAAGCTCGGCCCGCTGGTCACGCTCATCTCGACGTTGCACGTGCCGCCGTTCTGACACCGCTTGCCCGACACGGCCTGGCAGGGGTTCATGTGCTGGCAGTACTCGCCCACGAAGAGCGGGGGACAGCTGTGCGGAGAGGGAGAGACAGAGACAAGTCAGTTAACTGGTCGCGAATACATCGAGGGGCTTTTGAACTGGTCCAGATCGGATTCACCCCTTTCCGGAGCTTCACTCTTCAAAGCGCTTAGCGTTCTAATCGATCTGGAAAGTCTACTTTCCAGAAAAGCACTTGGGAGAGACAAGAGCGAGTTTTAATATGTCGTTTACAAAAGCTGAAATTCGCTGATCGCTGCAACTTGAGGAGGGAGTTCCGAGAATGGCAAATATGTTTATCCAGTGCAGTCCACTTATAACAATACCACATATAACGATGTAGTGCTTATAACGACCGGTTTCTGGAGTTTCAAGACTGGAAACGCCCAGCTTCTAGTCCAGAACGATAATCGGTTATAACGATTGACTTTTCTGGTTTTCTCATTATCGTTATAAGTGGATTGCACAACCTAAAGAAACAGACTCTGCCGTGGCACTGGGCACGGTAAAACCTGATGTTCAGTACCAGAGTGCAGACTGCGTCTTATTTGCCTTAGGGTTTGCCTAAAGGCCGAAACATATTTTCTGCCTCCCTCGTCATTCGGTAAGCTTTCTCCGTAGTCTGCACTGATTGGCTGCCTCAAGTGCTTTCCGGAAAAACAGACGCTACAGAGCGTGAAAACACAGCAACACGACGGTACAGCCCTACACCGCCTTCAAACGTGCACATTTATAATAACGCACTATATAGACGATTGCAAGCTGGGCGACTGGCCGCCGCCATGTCTCTGCTCGAGCAGGCACGCCCGTGCGATTACGAGCTTGCCAAAGCTACGTTCACCCGCGCGTTGCACGCGCTTGCACGCATGGGGCACCACTCGTGGCGCCATGCTTGCAATTGTCTATACACTCTTATCTACGTCCTGGATAATGGCCAGGGTACAAGCGGTACTCCTCAATGTCCCGCCTAAGACACGGGATATAAGCAGCCCTGTGAAGAAAACTATCCGTGACGCCTCTGGAAGCGGCCCAAAAAGTTCGAAGTACCACCTGTAAACGTCCCTAACCCGCCCGAACGTCTTTATGCGGCTCACTTGACAGCCGCCGAAGCGCACCGTCCCGCTTAAAGAAAAGAAAGCGCGAATGAAGCACAAAAGCCCGTAAAAGCCGCGTGTCTCCGCGTCTCCCCCTCACCGCTGTCGGCGGCGGGGCGCACGGCCTAGGAGGTGTTGGTTCGAGCCCCATTCCCTCTCTCAAGTCCCTTTCTCTCTCTAAAAAGTTGAAAACAAAAACAAGAAATTTTTTGCAAGTCCTACCGCGCATGCTCAGCCCGCGCAAAAGGCGTAGCTTGGCCGGTAGTCGCGCGAAATTGCGTTGTCGTCGTCGCGTTCTCTTTTTCGCGCAAGCCGCACCGTTCAAGAAGGAAAGTTGGTTTGAAATCTACGGCGGTGATGTATTCATCGCAAGACATCAAAGGTGCGTTGCGAGGTCAATGCTACGCAAGCAACTGCGAGTGCGATGGCTACAGCAGGGCCCTCGACAACTGTAGCCAACCTGCGGCCCTCACCAAGCGACGTGGTGCGTTTACTGCGGCCACAGCCCTGTACAGCAGGTAAGTGCCGCTTTTATTTCATGTTTTTGTGTGTGTGTGTGTGTGTCTGTGTGTGTCAGTCGAGGGGCACGCGTGTTCGGAACACCGTTGAGTACCCGACCGCTTCGGTATGCACTTTTCCGTGGTAATAACGTTGCGTTGTTCCGTGTGACGCGACCGAGACGTATGCCGTTATTGCACTTTAGTTTTAGTTTCACGTAGGGGGAGGCACTCACTTGATCGAATGTTGATCGAATGACGTTTTAGCGAACACCTACGTTTTACCGAATACACTTTAGCAAACAGTCGGACGCCACGAAGCGGCGTTTTCGGGTGGGCCAAATGGGTCCACATTTTTGTAATGAGCCGCCGCAAACTGTCGCCGCGAAGCGGCGTAAAGCGCAGCGCGGCGGATGGGTTATAACGCGCGCCCCCGTTATTCGCTAAAACGTCGATTCGCTCAAATGTCGCTGTTCGCTAAATTGTCATTCGCTCATGTGATATGGACCCGTGGCGGCGGCGGCCCAAAGGATTGCTACCCGTTTTTTACGCGTATTTTTATGTTTGACTGTCTTGTTCACCCACCATTGCCTGTTCTCGTCTTTTTTTTTTTTTTTTCTTCTTTTTTACCCCCATTTGGCGGCGGGCTAACAGGCGCACCTGCGTACGGGTCTCAACCTTTCTGTCTAGCCTTGCACGCTGCCGAGTGAGTAACCTAACTGTGCAAATAAAAATTATTATTAATATTATATCCTCTGTGAGCTCGTGCTGTCGGCATCGAGTACTGCATAAAATGACATTACAACAAAAAAAACATAGCCACCCAGCACATACAGGTACTATGTGCTTGTTGCACCCCCCCCCCCCCCCCCCCCCAAAAAAAAAAAAAAAAGTTAAGTTATTTAGAAGTTTTCACGCCTTGTTTTTCTCTTTCTGGGTTGCATAATTTTTTTTTTCTGAGGGGGCGGTATTGTGATGATTTTACGCTCGCCCGTCAACGTCAAGCTTGTTGCACAGCTGTTTAAACTAAAAGTGGAGAAAACATTCCACAAGTGACTTTGTATAACCCCGGACAATTTACAGCCATGTTTATTTCTACAGCTCTTTCTGCTTAAGGGAAACAAAGATGGTGCTAGAGCACCCATTCATTCGTGCCTTTTAGATAATACTGTGGGCTTGGAAATTTAAACAAATGTTTAATGCCAGCTGCTGACCAGGAAGCTAATACTGCCAGTAAAAACATTTGATGTTCTCGTGTGATACCAGATTCATACCAGTTCCATAAATTGAAGTAATGAAAGTGTCATTTTTCCTGCCATATAGATAAAAAGACCACGTGAGGACAGCTCAATTGTAGACATTGACAGTATTTATGACTATACGACATCAACAATGACATTTCTGACTTCATGCAGCTTGATTATTCGCTCTGTTTGCAGGTATATTTGAAGGCGAGTCATGCGATTTGTCTGACAACATGCAAGGGTCTACTTCGCAGGGTGCCAGCATCAGTACCTCTGAGGTCATGAACAACAGCACCTGCACTGCTGCTGAAATTCTGCTTGGTGAGTACCAACATGCATATGTTGTGGTTAACACGGTTGTTTTGCAATAATTGAATCAACTTCCTGTTCACGTGGTTAAAAAGTCATTAAGGCAACAACTGTCGCCTTGATGACACGTGCAGGATTCCCTTGATTGTACTGTTAACTTCATCTGTTGAACAACGAAATCATGTATGTACATAAATTCATAAACAGCATTGGCACAGTGCACACATTAGTTAAGCATAAAAAATGATTAACACTGCTAGGGATAGCAATTGGAACATTGGTAAGCTGGTTGGTGAGCGAGATATTTGTGCAAACAAATCAAAAGACATTTGTTGTCATTGGCTATTATTTATGTAGTTTAAAAGGTTCCACTTGATTTGTATAAAGCAGCTGTGAATTTTTTCTGCAAATTCCTTGGTTTTTGGATGCTTTCACCATCTTAGCACTGGCAACTAGCTAGACAGGCCAAGGGCACAGACAGCTTAAGTTAATTTTTTTGGAACTGCACTACAATACCATTGTACAGGCATACCAGTGAAACCTAAATAGGTGTCCGGGGAAAGTGTTGTACAATGTTATATATGTATAATGTGTTGCGTTTTTTCTGAAAAAGGAAACCTTTTCAGAGCGACATCTCCGCTGAGGACACAACATCTCCTGGCCCAAGGATCTTCTGGGGCATATCGACCAAAATCGTCTCTTGTGGAGGGCCTGGCGAAATCATCAAGCTAAATGACGCTACTTTGGAGAAGGCTCTACTCCTTTGCCTAACGGTGTATTATGTCAAGGACATAACATACCCCTCGGCATTTGCGCAAACGTTGGGGCTCGTGCAAAGTGCGATAAGCAATGGTGAAAAATTTCCCCGCTGCTGGGCTAACAGCAAGCTCGTAAAGATTCTCGAGAGTATGAATGTTACGTAAATCTACATATGTTTACTGCGGCAAAGTCACTGCAGGTGTTATTTCACAGAGGAAGAATATCCCTGGCTTTAACGTAAGAAAGTACTTGTTCATCTTACAACGCAAGTGCATAAAAAAAAGTAGTTTTTTTGCAAATGCACGATTAATGTAACAGCCTGATGACGTACAAATCAAAGTATGCTTGTGCCATTCTTTGCGGATCCCAGTGGTATATGATAACATGTTGCAATGTTGGTATTTATTATACAGTAATGGGCACAAGTAGATGTGTTCGGATTGCTGAACGTTAGCGCAAGACGCAGATAGTGATGCTGTGATATTTTCCAGTAAGAAACTGAATACAGCAGCTCCTGATCTCTTTTTTTTTTAGTTAATACTGTAATACAGTTTGTGTGACTTGCATAACTTACCTACACTCGGTCACATTTATTTCAGTAAAAAGAGTAATAAGTACTTTGTTTAACAGTAATAAATATTCTTAGGAATGCAGAATCTTGATCTCACTGTATTCTTTGTTGAAAAGTGCTTGGGTACAGCTATTCCATGCTTCGTACAACGAAAAAGGGCTAACTGTGATAGTAGTGTGAGTTCTTAATGTGTTCGTTCGTTTGAATTTCAATAAATGGATTATACACCCTTCAACAGACTGTGTGGGCTGTGCTAACAATTACTTAACTTAATACTTTATTGCTCTAAGCAACCTAAAAGCAAAAAAAAAAAAAAAATGAAGAAGAGACATACACCACGAACTGGTGCTAACTTTCAACGGATTTAATCAAGCCTGTCAAACCCAGCGCAATAGTCTATTGTGTATGGGATGCTTTTATCACGAAATGTTGGCGTGATAGACAAGACTTCACAGATGCGCGCTGGGTTTGACTGACTTTATTAGATGAGTTGAAAGTTAGTGCCAGTCCGTGTTGTGCGTGTCTCGTCCTTACTTTTTTTTTTGCCCTTTTTAATTTT